ACGGCGAAGCCGCGACCTTGGACTGCGCTAGACAGGGCGGCGCTCATGCCTCATGCGTTGCCATCTCGCGAGATCACGTAACGACAACGACAAATGTCAGTAACGGCGTTAAAACACCAACACCAGGAGCAACAAGTGTATTAAACGAACCAGCACGTACCCAGGATTCCGACAGAGTACCACCACCGAGTGCCCCTATGGACTTGACTATTAAAAAACCCTGTGAATTCTCCGAAAGACTCGGAGCCGGACCTCAAGTTTTAGACTTAACGTGCAGAAAACGTACACACAGCGTAGCAGAAGTGTCCAGTTCCACACCCGGTGAAGTGCAACAAGAACCCGCAGTCAAAACCGTCAAACTTTTCAAACCCTATCTCTTAACCGACGATGATGACAAACACAAAGACAAGATGGCCGCAGTTTCAAAAGTTCCCGCCATCGTATCAACAACCAAACTCGACTCGACGTACCTGGGTGGCCCTTTTTACCCCGTGTATTCCTACCCTTCACCGACATACACTTACTACCAGCAAGTGCGTTATTCACCTTGTTACGATTCCGCAAGTTCATTTAGTCCAGGAAGCTGCTACGACGAGGATTGTGCGTCCCTTTCACCCGACAGCGAGAATATAGCCGTTAGACAGAGACACAGCTATCTCGATTTCAACATGGCCGCCGTTGACAGTTACTACTACAGAAGACAAGATTTGTTAACAATGCGGTACCGGTTCGAGGCTAGTCCGCCTCTGACATAGTATTATATAAATATAAGATTGTCAAATATCTCCCTTCCGCCTTTTTGTATTATAAACCAAGAGCAAAAAAGCGGAAGGGAGATATTTGAAATCTAATATAAAATTTATTTACTATTTTATTACTAACACGACTGCCTTAAAAGCCAACAGTCACATTTATAAAAAAAGGACTGACTGACAACAACCGTTCTTGTTCTTAGAGTTTATAACGAAAAACCAATGTGATTATCTGTAAGAGTAAGATATATAGATTTTATTTATATATAGTTAGTAAACTTGACTTGACTACGAACTTATCAGTGTATAAATTATTTTATGTGCCTTGATTGATTCAATTGTGCCAATATCGTAGATATATTAGATATATATTTCTTGTAGATATATATTCTTGTACATAGTTAAAACAAAACATATTTTATTAAATGATTATGAAGGAATCATTAAAGCAGCTTATATATAGTAACAAACAATGTATATATAAATAATTAAATGTATATGTATTTTTATATATAAAATTTTATAAAAACCTAATAAATATATATATCAAGTTTTAAGTACTTTGTTTTATTACAAACACATTACAGGTTTCTTTTTAGGGCATCCGAGAAGGTATTTCTGGCATCCAATTTTTTTTCTTTCTAATATTTTGTGCCATAATTAATTTTACCATAAGAATTTATTATGAACACTTAATTAGGTGTTTAACTTGTGTAAATAATCAATCATCAATTAAATATCAGCAAATTCTCAATAAATTTTTCAACTGCTTATTTTGAAAATAATATTAGGTTGTCAAATATCTCCCTTCCGCTTTTTTGCTCTTGGTTTATAATACAAAAAGGCGGAAGGGAGATATTTGACAACCTAATATTTTGGCTTTTTAATATTTTTTTTTTAACATTTTTGCTAAAATCTCACAATATCAATGTGATTTTCTTTGATACTGTTCAAACAAACAAATTAATCAATTAATACTTATTTACAAAGTATAAATAAAAATTAATTATGATTTATTGATAATATAAAATGGAATTTGATTCTTTCATCTTAAAATTATATTAATTTTTATTATATAAAAAATAAAATTAAAGATAAAATAATTAAATTAATTTGAAGATGTTGGTGAAAACCTTTTTCAAGCTAAACGTATTAATATAAAGTTAAATTTAAATAAATATACTAACTAAAAATATTAAACTAAATATATATTTAAAAATATTATAGCAAAACCTCAAATTAACTTTGATTCTTCTTTAGCAAAATGAAATGGATTTTTTATATTTATTTCTTTATATTTTTATTTAATAATATTATAGCAAAATATCAAATTAACTTCAATTATTCTTTAGCAAAATGAAATTGATTATTTATATTTATTTCATTTACTATTTTTATTTCCCTGAAGGAAAACTTTGTTCTTGTAAAAGAATCATAATTTTTTACTTGTAAAGAAAGCATTTAAACTAAAATAACTAGTAAAAAAAAACTCTCATCTACAAACACATTACAGGTTTTTTGAGATGAGAGGATATTTTGGTATCAATCCAGTTTTTTCTTCAAATATTTGGGGTAATAATTAATTTTTTTCATAGTCAATTAAGAATTAAATATTAACAATTTTTCAATTGTAGGTTTTAAAAATTACATTCTTGCTTTGTACTAAAATCTCAAAATCAAGTGATTTTCTTTGATAATTTCCAAACAAACAAATTAAAAATTAGGAGTTATTTACAAAATATAAATTAAAATTAGTTACATATTTATTAAATATACTATATTGATTAATTTTATTCTAATAAAACAATGCTTATTTTCATTATTATATTATTAATAAAATTAAACTAGTTTGAAGATGTTGGTAAAAACCTTTTTCAAATGTACTAATATCAAGCTAAATTTAAATAAATATACTAATTTAAAATATAAATAAATACCAACTAAAAATATTAAACTAAATATATATTTAAAAAGATTAAAGAAAAATCTCAAATTAACTTTGATTCTTCTTTTTGCAAAATAAAATGCAACCTTAACTCAATTTTTTATATTTCATTTCATTTACTATTTTTGTTTTTCTAGAGTTTTTGCTAATAAATCAGATTATTTTTTGCATTTTCTGAAAACTTTTGAAGAAATCATTTAACATAATAACTAAAATAATAGAGTAAAAAAACTCTCACAAATAAATTAATTAATTAATACTTATTTACAAAGTATAAATAAAAATTATTATTTATTGAAAATATAAGATAGAATTTTATTCTATTAACTTAAAACAACAAACAAACAAAATTTTAAAGATAAAATAATTGAAGTAATTATATTAATAATAATTTTAAATTTAAAACTAGCTGTAAGTGGAATTCTGTCTTGAGGCAATTATCGTGCCTTAAGGCAAATTGCTGGAACTTCCCGTACCGTAACGAAATATTCGTGAAATACTGAATGTTTTCAAATAGATTATTATAAATATTGTAACATTGTCTAATATTTATAAGAATTATATAAACTGTATTGCAGAGTTGAAATTATTTGTAAAGTATATTAGAACTATAGTCAGAATTAAAAATAAAATCTGAAATATTTTCGATATACAAAAAAACTAAAAAAAAAAGAAAAAAAAATGAAACAAATTTTTTTTTCCAAAATCAATTATTTTGTTAAGACAAGCAGAAAGTTCTTTGAATCATTTAAATCGAACGCTTAGTTCTCTCAAAAATTGCCATTTTTTACATATTTAGCTCCGTATCTTCAAAATGGCTGGGCCTGCCTTTGCCAAAAACTAATAAACACTTCTCCCAATCATTACTAATTGAATGTTTTTTAGATCATTCAAATCGGACACTCCGTTCTCTCAAAAATTCGATTTCTATTTTCTGCACTCTTGGCTCTTTATCTCCGTAACTGCTGGACCTGCCTTTGCCAAATACTAATCAGCACATCTCCTTATCAATAGGAATCGAATGTTTTTTGAACCATTCAAATCGGTTGATCCGTACGCCCGAAAACGTGGACGAAAAATTGTATACATACAGGCACACACACACACATACATCCATTTTTTCTGAAGTATGCCAAAATGTTCAGAAACCTTCAAAACGTCGAGAAATGTAAAAAATTTCAATTCCGATTTTCGGCCCATTACAATAACTTACCCTACGGGAAGTTAATAATTGAAATGTTATTTAAATAAATTGATGAAAACCTTTTGAGGCTAAATATATTGTTATCAAGTAAAGGCTCCTCATTCTCAAATAAATAAAGAAGACAAAAATACTAATTTAAAATGTAAATAATGACTAACTGAAAATATTAAACTAAATATATATTTAGAAATATTATAGCAAAACCTCAAATTAACTTTGATTCTTCTTTAGCAAAATGAAATGGATTTTTTATATTTATTTTATTATTAAATTGTAAATTCTATCCTTTATACTCTTATTTATTTAAATTTATGTTATTATTTATCATTATTGGTAGATGTTATATTATTTAACAGTTGTAATAAATATTGTAATTAAAATAAAAAAATATTAAATTAAAAATATTAAAGCAAAATATCAAATTAACTTTAATTCTTCTTTAGCAAATTGAATTTATATTTATTTCATTTACTATTTTTATTTCCCTGAAGGAAAACTTTATTTTTGTAAAAAAATCGTATATTTTTCACTTGATTTAAACTAAAATAATTAGTAAAAAAACTCTCACCTACTTATAAATCTTTTTATTCTTTTCATTCTTTCAACAAATTTTTTCTTCTTATTTATGTAACATGAGCCAAGCGTTTATAATCAATCTTTTCAAGCAAAACTAAAGGTCGTAACTGTTCAGCAAATATTCTTATGTCTTCGGCTATAGCGTCTTGTCCAGACGGAGCAAGCACCTGAAAAATAGACACAAAAATAATTACCAAATGCTTCTGCAATTATAAATCTATAATTCTATATATATATATATATATATATATATATATATATATATATATATATATCCATCATCTATAAATATATACCGATAATTCAACAAGATAACTCTGAGAAATTGGTTCAAAAGCTTCTCCAGGTTTTGAAGGTGACGCACCTTTCTTGAAAACCTAAAATATATAGAAATTATTATTATATTATTAAAAACTATGTTGTTTTTTTTTTTTACCTTAGATACGGTAATCTTCATCCGTCCCTTCCGAAACATATAACCCCTAACAGTGTACTCAAAATCTATCCTACATCCGAGTTCTGTAAGAAACTCCATAACAGTGGAACTACAAGCGATATCTATAGACGACCGTACCACTGCCGGTCTAGAACGATCACCCAATTCAGAGGCACCTATATATCTCAATTGATATGGGGCTTCTTGATCTAACGCTTTACGTACCCTGAGGACTAGAGGATTCTAAAACAAAAACCAACTAGTCATAAACTAGCAAATTATTGATATTTCAATATCAGTTACCATTTGTGTGGGTCCTCTGAGACTAAAACACACTTCGTGATCGTGAAATGTTTCAGGGCCGGAGTCTACATTATCGCAAAGACCTCTTAACCTAAAAAAATCATATAAATTTATTCAAGTTCAATATTTACAATTTAAGTCAATAGAATTATTATTTTATACAGTATTTTTTATTGCATTTGTGTTATTGTTACCTGTGTAGAAGTGCTTCAACGGCAGAATCTAAAACAGAACCTTGTAATAAATATTCTTGGTTTGGCAAAATGTTGCACTTAAGCGCTTGACTTAAACTATCCATAGCAGTCCCCAAGGGGGCTGATGCTGATTGATTTGTAGACATCATAAAATATACACACTGATAATAATATTAAGATTAATAGAATGTACATAAATATTTAAAATATGTTTTATCAAAACAAACCTAACCTAACTTTTTACCTTGAAGAACTGTTTGTAAATTTTTACATTTAAAGTACAAATATGCTCAATATACATGTATTTATAAGATCTAACAATTTATATTTAAGCAGATACATTTATATTATTTATTTTACATGTTTAAGTCTGCATTATTTATTTTGTTTGAAAATTCTTGTAAATGTCAAAAAACTACTTGAGTTGCACAAGCGCCATCTCTTGTGCATTGCTCTAACAAATTTTGACCGTTAATTTTAAAATTGATATTTGAATATAAATATTTTTGTGTAACAAAAATCTTTATAAAACTAGGTGTAAGTGCTATTTTGCCTTAAGGCAAGTTGCATAAACTTCCCGACGCGTATAAATAAATGACAAATATGCTTTATTGATAATCCATTTACAAATGTATTGGAAATTTCATAAAACAAATGAATGAAATCGATTGTATCAATCAAAAAGTTTGATTTCAAATATTAGCGCGAAAAAACATTAATTTGTTATAAATTATTGACAGGTAATTTGTTAACATAGCTAATATAAAATAGATATGTTAATATTTATATATAAAAAAATATGTATATATTAATATATATTTTTTTTTTTTTAGATAAATGTCCTTCAAGGATTTATTCGCATAAATCATGGGTGATCAAGATGAAGAAAAGAAGGAGGAGGTTGTAGATCCGAGATGGGAATTTTTAAATAATTATTTAGCACGGACTTTGAAGTTGAAAGCTGAAAAATGGCAAAAGTTTGCTTCCAACGAGGAATATGTGGTAAAAATAATAATTATTAATTAATAATCTAATTTATTTTGAAGGAGAAGTTTGTTTTTGCCAGAAAATTTTCGCGTTTTCTCAAAAAATCTAGGAAAATGTAAAAATTGTTGTTAAAATATCATAAAATATCCTTAAATTCCATAAACAAAATAATCATATTATAAAAGTATTGTAAAGCTCAACAAAATACTTTTTTAATTGTTCAAAAATGCAACAAGCTATTTATATTTAAAAATAATTAAAATTAACTAAATATATAAGGTTGTCAAATATCTCCCTTCCGCCTTTTTGTATTATAAACCAAGAGCAAAAAAGCGGAAGGGAGATATTTGACAACCTAATATAAAATTAAATAAATTAAATAATAAATGAGTAAGTAATAAATATAATTAAATTATATTAAATTTGCAAAATATTGACATGAACCTTATTTAATATCATTATACTGACGGCTTGTAAAATAAATAAATAAATAAATCGTACTGATTAGTTTTTAGCGAAGGTCGGCCAGGACGTTTCTTTGTAATTAATAATAAATCATTTTTTTGACAATTTTTATATGGCGATAAAGTTCCTGGTTTTAATGAACATACTAAAATGCTACTTACACCTAGTTTATTAACTTCCCCTAAGGTAATTTATTGTAATCGTGCAAAAATCGAAATTTGAAAATTTCAGCATTTCTTCACGTTTTCTGAACATTTTGGTATACCTCAGAAAAATGGATGTGTGTTCGTGTGTATGCATGTATGAATACAATTTTTCGTCCACGTTTTCGGGTGCACGGATCCACCGATTTGAATGGTTCAAATAACATTCGATTCCTATTGATAGGGAGATGTGCTGATTAGTTTTTGGCAAAGGCAGGTCCAGCCGTTTCGGAGATACGCAACTAAATGTGCATTTTTTAAAAAGAAATAAGCATCCGATTTGAATGATCCAAAATACTTTCTACTTGTGATGAAACGATTGCATTTGGAAAAAAATCATTTTTTTTTTAATTTTCAAAAATATTTTTTTTTGATATCGAAAATAATTCCGATTTTTAATTTTAATTCTGATTAAAATTCTAAAGCTCACTTATATACCTAAAATAAATAATTTTAACTTTGTAATTCAGTTTATATAATTCTTATAAATATTAGACAATGTCCTTCATTTTAAATTGGATTGATTAAGTTTTGTTTATCTACTTTTCTGTAAACATATATAAGTTATAATAATCTATTTAAAATTTTTTAATAATCCTCGAACATTTTGTTACGGTCCGGGAAGTTCCAGCAATTTGCCTTAAGGCACGATGCCATACACTTCTAGTTACTTGTGAAATGATACGATATGAGTCGATAATCTACTTAATTGTAACATTAGAAAGTCCTACATTTTGTTGTTTTAATTGAAAACTTTCATGTTAGACAGACAACGTAGTGAATTATATAATTTTGCACAAATTTGTTAATATTTCTAACAAATTTAACAAATAAATAAATAGTCTACAAATATCTATTACGTTAATAGATACATACCTGACAATGAGATGAATGTCATTTTTTATTCATTAATAATGTTATTATTATTTTCTCCAGGGCATCATCAACAAGTTCTTCAACAATCCTTCGATTCCCTACATGTTGATTTATGTAAATATTGCTGGAATTTTGGTGGCAGGTCTAACTTTTCCGAATGCCGCTAAAAATAAAATACCTTATTTCTTTCGCAAACGAGAGGAAGAGATCACTAAGGATAATTACAAAGACGTAAGTGGAAATGAAATAAATATATATATATATATATATATATATATATATATCTTATATATAAAATTCTTCTGTAATGGGGTATGAAAGGTTAATCCTCCTAAACGATTATTCGGATTTTCATAAATCTGCCTGAAGTTTGTTAAGGGAATTTTCTAGTATTTTTTGATTCATAGATATATAGTTAGATTGTAGAAATAAATGGACAAAATTACAAAAAACCGCTTATCATTGTTTGACTTTGAAAATATTTGAGGCATAGTTTGACATTAAAAACAAATGAAGACTGTCATTTGCCAAACATTTCCATTCACTTATGGGCTAACACAATATTAAAATATATATATATATATATATATATGATTTTGAATGAGAAAAATGTAATGTCTATATTATTATTGCCGAAAAGCAGCTGAGATGTGCCAAAAATTAAAATAATATAAGATACATTATATATTTGACGGTTTGCATACCCTATACAATTCAATTTGACTAATTATTTTTTAACGAATGCAGTCGTGTTTTGCCTTACTTTACTAAATCACAATACAAAAATAATTTACTTATTCAAAAAATTATTTAGAAGTTTCGTTGTGCCAAAAATTCAAATGTTTGCCATTGGATGCGGAATATTTACTCAAGTAAATGGAGCTTTTTGGGTCTGAATATTTTTAATGTGCTCCAATTTGCATGAAATTTTGGAATTAGGTTCATCTTACTCTCAAGTTTAAAAGTGAAAATAATTTAGACTCTTTTGCCACTTCCCTGGGGGATGACATTTCTTAGTGGTGTACTTTTACTTTTTTCTAAACCGATAAAAGAACTAATTAGATGAGAAAAATGTTTAATACTGTTTTTCAAAAAAGCAAACACTGTTCATGTTACTGGCTACTGAAAATTCTTTTCTTTTTTACGTTTTTCATCGTTTTTTTTCTAATATCTTTAAAATATACCTTTCAACGAAAATCATGTAATAAACAAATTTCTCAATTTTACATCACTCATATATTGATGTAAATAGTAATTCGAAAAAAAATCATTATTGCTTTTAACTGAACGGTAAAAATTAGTATAGGATATTGAAAAAAACGTAGATGTGGGTACAGGACAACGTCTGTCGGGTCACCTAGTATATATATATATATATATATATATATTTATATATGAGTAAGTTTTTCAAGGACAATAAATCAAATAAAAGGCAAAGATTTAGAAGTTAATCTTTAATTTTTTCCAAACGTTTTGACATAGGATTTTATGTCGTCATCAGTGGATATAAATAAGGTCTTAAATCAGTAACTAGCGTATGGCACATAATTTTGCACTATCATAATAAACTAACTTGTTTTTTTGTTTTTGTTGAACAGAGCATAGCAAAATATTTGTGAAACATAATATATTTTGCACGGAAAAAGTAGTTTATGCGTACATTCCCGAGGATAATACGCATAAACTACTTTTTTATACACATAAGTGATTTCTTAATATTATATGTATATTTATGTATATATATTACGCTTTTGTATGTTTGTATATATTTTTTTTACTTTTCAATTTTTATGTTTGTCTATCCGTTTAGTTATAATTGTTATTGTTATAATTATAATACTTGTATCTATAGTTCTTTTTCCAATTTCTGTAATTTTTTCCTAGTTTATATTAATTTTTCAATGTTCATTCTGTAGATCCACTGATGATGACATAAAATCCTATGTCGAAACGTTTGGAAAAAATTAGAGATTAACTTCTAAATCTTTGCCTTTTATTTGATGTATTGCCCTTGAAGAACTTACTCATATTTCTCAACATCAAAACTAACTTCATTGACACATATATATATATATATATATATATATATATATATACACCTAAGTCTGTTTTTACACGGTAGATTGGTTCCAGAAGAAGCCGTGTAAAAAAAAATCGTGTAAAAAAAGACATTGATCTTATACAAAAATGGGTGATTTGTTCCTAATCTCTAAAACCTATTAAAATTAGTGAAAAACAAGAAATTTTAAGAACAAGAATTCATGTTTATTTTATTAAATCAAATATGTCTTATTTTCACAAGCATAGTAATTAATGATAAAAAATATGTACTCTAATCTTAAAGTAATATAAATTAAATGTATGGCAAGTTCAGGAACTAAAAACTATGTTGTGAACGAAAGAATAGGAACATACTTCGCAAAAATTAAATTTGACAAAAAAATTTAAGTACATAAATTTCAAATCGTGCTAATGGAATAAAATCGTGTAAAAAAATTAAAAATATTCAATTTTCAAACCGTGTTATATCAAAACCATGTACAAAAGACCGTGTAAAAACAGACTTAGGTGTATATATATATTATATATATATATATATATATATATATATATCTCAAATCTTACAATTTTTCTCTAGATGATGATCATCGGTGAAATGCCACCAAAACCAGTCGAAGACCTACTTGTCCTCCTCGAGCATGTCTTCAAGCCAATGTTGCAGAATAGTACAAATGTATCAAATTGGCCGCAGATTGTGACGACAGATCTCCTGGAAAAGACACAGTCTTTGAAGAATTCCATCACCCAAGTGAGATAATAAAATATCAAATATATTGCCTAATAATAAAATAAATAATATTAATAATTGAGGCTATTGATTTGTTTTTAGGTGCAAGGCTCCATGCGCAACCAGACGATTCTGCCGATGCCGTTTCAGCATGAAAAAGTTATGCTGGAACAAATTGAACTATCCGAAGAGTAAGATTTATTTTTTAATTTTCTTTAAAAAATACGTCTTTGCTAATATAAAAGGATTTGAAATGTAAGGATGAACTATATCTTTACGTTTCAAAGGTTTCTGCACATTTTGGCATACTTTAGAAAAAATGGATGAATGCGTGTGTGTGTATGTATGTGCGGATACAAATTTTTGTCGACGATAAACGATAATTCCAAAAGCATATTATTTGTATAGACTAAAGAATTGTTTAAATTTTTGGAAAGGCAGGTCCAGCGATTACGGAGTTACATTAAAAAAATGATTATTAAGCATATGCATATCAAATTAACAGATATTTTATGGAGATTTTAATATTAAGTGTAAATTTTGTTTACATTTCTATGGGTTCCGTACTAATATTTTTAATTTTGATTTTCTTTTATATGGTTCAAACAAATGTCATTTTTGACACTATGGAATAACCGATTGAAGAAACATTCGGTTTGTACTCGATCGCGAGGCGTTTTTGAAAAGGGCACGTCCAGCCGTTTCGGAGATACGGGGCAAACAGAGCCAAAAACTGAGAGAACGAATCATCCGATTAGAATAATTCAAACAACTTTTGCTTGTGTAGACGCTGTTCTAAAATGTTTTTACAAAAAACTTTGTAATTTTTTTAACATTTTCGAAAAAAATCAAAATTTTCAAAAAATTCAAATTTTCAAGAAACAACTAAATTTTGGAAAAAAGGTTTCTTACAAAAATTTGAGAATATTTTGAAATTGAATATTTTCGAAAATTTCTATTTTCTTGAAAAATTTGAAAAAATCAATTCTATTCAAAAATTCCAAAAAAATTTAACAAATTTCTTGTGACATACACGTTGTTGTAGAATACGTTCTTCGCTTAATTCAATAAGCACTAAATATAATAAAAAATCTATTTTAAAATATGTAAAACAATTGTAATTAAACAAAATGTTTTTGATTATTGATTATTTTTCTTCCTCGAATGTTCAATTAAGATACGGGAAGTTCTAGCAATTCACCTTAAGGCACGATGCCATGAACTACCCTAGGGATAAATTAATATGCGACATGCTGCTTCTTTAAATTATTCATTCGTTCTACTTGTATTCAATTCTATTTTTTTAGTCACAATATGTTCTTACTCAAGTATTTTGCAAATTTATTTACTACCAAACGTTAATTTTTTGCCTATTATATTTTATTAATTGTTTTCCCAGGAATCCTGAACACGACGTCGACGTGGATCTACGCGCCCATTTAGAAGAAATCGTCACGGAATGGGATAAAATGATCAGGGCCGTTTTGAATGAAAAATCCACCCTGGCCTTTGCAAACGGCCGCCATCCTTCTCCGAATGAAGAAATCAGGTAAAATAGATAATAGAAAAAGAAAGAAAGCTGCTGAATTTATTTAAACTAATCTAAATTAATTTCTTCTGCTGCAGATTTTGGGATCTGCGTCACAAAAACTTGCAGCACATCTACTCGCAGTTTCAAGGCGAAGATATAAAGAACATAGCTTCCGTTCTTGAGCTGGGCGGCAGCATATTTTTTGAATACTTTAAGAAGCTGTTTTCCGATTTGGTAGCAGGTAATAATATACGTATGGAGAATACACTGTAACTTTTTACTTGTTTTTGAATCCTTTAGCAATATAGGGGACACAAATGGGTCGAAGCGGCTGTAAAATAGACCAATGTTATGTGGCGGTTTTCATATAAAGTGTTACTAAATACTGTCCTAATGTCATGTATTTGCTATGCAATCAGGCAGTTTAGTCATGAAATACATCTTCACTCATTTTTACCTCCTTGGGTTAGATCTTCTATTTAATACGCCTGGCCGCATAGCAACACATTGAATTTTAACAGTTTTTAGTACCATTTTATGTGAAAATAGCTACATAACATTGATCTATTTTACGACCACAAAATTTATTTTATAAACTTCTTTATGTATAAGCTAATTTTGTTTTTTTTAATGTTTCTTAGAATCATTAGGTAAAACTTGACTTTAATAACTTTTATAAAAACTTGTTTTCTATAAAAACTTGTTTTCCAATTAATATGTCTTTGATTTAATTTTTAGACTGAACAGTTACTACTAACTTACTAATTGATTTTTTTTTTACCTTAAGCTTTGGCGGAAGCAGCTGATATAATATTATATTTGCGTCCGATGTCCAGACACTATGAATTTTTTGAAAGCAACGACTTTTTAGATTCGAAGCCTTTGATTCGACCCATGATGTACTGCACTCATCTGGTTTGGGGAAACTGCAAGTGAGAAAAAAACTCTAATTTATAATTATATAAATATATATATATATATATATATATATACTAGCTGGCCCGTCAAAAGTTGTTTTGCTATAAAAAATATTTCTAGAGAATCTTTAGTATAAAAAATAACTGATTGATTATGAATGTAGAAGTGTATGGTAACTAAAACAAATTAAATGGATGGTTTACCCACTGCAATACATGCCACATATAAATGCTCTTGATTTCATTTAAATTGTATTGGCACATTTTGATTTAAGGTTTTTATATATTACATGCAGCTTTGAAATAATTTCTCAACTTTCTTACAACTTCTGGATTAGCACAAATATTTCAAAGCTAAAACTGGCTAAATCGGTTCAGCCATTTTTGACTTTTAGCGAATCTAACATTATTCTTTCATTTTTTCATTTATTATCTAACAATATGTAAAACAATTTTTCCAAAGTTTAAGAACGATTAAATTTAAAATATATCACCGATTAAAATAATTTAAATAAGTAAAAATTAATTATTTGTCTTTTCATTCGCGTTCAATAAAAATTGCTTATCATTTCTTTAATTGACAAGAGCCATTTTACTTACTTTTATTTGTTAGTGATAAAATATTTTGGGAAAAAAATTTAAATTTAATTTGTTCTTTGTGATAATTCTTACGCATTACTTTTAATAAACAATGTAATTAAAAGTTTTTTGTTCTTGATGTTTCAAAAAGTTCTCTATTGTCTAATTCAAATCCGCCGTTTTTTAAATAAATACAAAGTAGTTTTTTTTTTGCCGTATTGAGGCAGTTTTCACATTTTCTGAAAAAATAGTATTTAAATAAAGGTTTTTTGTTAGTTTTTGATTTTGATAATACTATTGACTTCCTTTTCACTTCCTTAAAGTCCTGTTGAGTGTATTACTGATTTTGTTTACAAAGTAGATTGTAATGATTGCAATTGTTATTACATTGGCGAAATTCTCAATATATTTACAAGAGAATGAATCAACATATTTGTAATTATAAAAATCCAAATCAGTATAAGACTATGTTTTCCGAACATGTCATTAATTCAAACCACTCTTTTAATACCAAGAATCCTATTATTTTACATAAGGAAAAGAATGGTGACCTCAGAAAATTTACTGAATCTGTATTTATCTTTTGAATGATGACACACATGCCGTGTCGAAACGTAAAAATAAATAGATCGTTATTTTAATTCGACGATTGGCTGCAATAAGTGGCTTTTCTAATGCCACTCATTCCAAATTTACTTCAGGTTATGAAATTATTAATAAAAATATATTTATTTTTATTTTAAGGTACTACGCAAGCCCAGATAAAGTAATTGTTTTATTAACTGAAATCAACAACATGATGATGAACGAATGTTCCAAGTCTTTGGAACCTGAATCAATGCTTCAAGGCGAAGTCGATGAAGGCTATAAGAGAGTTTTGAAGGCCGAGGAAATTTTAAAATACTACAGGTAATTAAAATTATTAAAAACCATTTGGTTGTGTTTGTAGTTGCATCAACCTTACAAGAAAATTGTATATGACTAAACTTTTCTCTTAATAGTTATAATATATTATTTATTGATTATTTTATTTATATCTAGACAAGTCTGTAATGAATACCGAGGAAATTTGGCCCAATTCTGCAAAGATCCTGATTACAAACCGCCTTACGAATGGAACTTTCATCCGTCGAGGTATATTGAAATTTATCAATTATTATTAGAGATTATGATTAAAAATATAGTGGTAGTTATATTTTGTAGCATTTTGTTTTTTATTACAGAATATATTCAAGATTCGACATTTATTTGAAACGATTGGAGTTGTGCAAGGAACTTTTGACGACTGCTGTAGATTTTTATAGATTGGAAAAAGTGGAATTGGCTGGTATACCGGGAAAGACTTTGGGATACAAGACTGTACAGGTATAAATAAATAAATATATATATATATATATATATATATATATATATATATATTAGGGTGGTCCTTAATATGAACATTTTTGAATTTCTTTGCTCACAAAGGCTCAAATGTCTTCAAATTAATAAAAAAATTATCTAAAAGTTTTAGCTCTTAATATTAACATTTAGATAGTCCGCAATTCAATTAACTTTTTATAAAGTAAATTATTAAGTATTAGGTAAATTTTTGCGCCATCTGTGATAGCAACCTTGTAATTTTGATGGCAATTTATTACTAATAATTTGATCACCTGCTGCAAAAATAATTTTGATGTCAAGATTAATAAATATTTCGTTAAACGGCCCACGTGGATTTAATTAGAGGTTAAGTGATTTATTAATATTTTTGTCATAATGTTTGAGTTTACAAATGCTATCACAGATGGCGCAAAAATTTACCTAATACTTAATAATTTACTTTATAAAAAGTTAATTGAATTGCGGACTATCTAAATGTAAATATTAAGAGCTAAAACTTTTTGAGATTTTTTTTTTATTAATTTGGAAGCATTTGAGCTCTTGGGAGCAAAAGAATTCGAAAATGTCCATATTGAGGACCACCCAAATATTTATACATATAAAAAAAATTGAACAAAATTTCTGAACTAAGAGTCCTTTTTCTTACAATTTTTTTTTATATATTTAAATTTTTAATTACTAAATTTTTCAGGTTTTTGGCATATTCTCTTTTTCAGGAACTATTGATAAAAAATTAAGTTTCTTTTAATATAAACTTATGTAATTATTTTAAACTTGAAAAAAATTATTTTCTACCTTACTAATTAAAAAATTAAACAACTTTTTGAAGAAAAAATAAGGTTTTTAGTTCAGAAATTTAAAAATGATAATATATATATACCAACTTTGTATAAAAGGTGTAAAAACTTGCTAAGTAACACACGCGCGCCTCTATGAACGTCTGCAACAATTACAAAACGTGATAACAAAAAAGATATAAAGATAACTATCTGCATTCTTATCTATACATTCAAACTTTTAAAACAAGTTGCAATTCAAAATTCTTAACTAAGTATTTTGTAAATTTATTTACAACTAAATCTTTTTTATCTATTTATAAACAAACCATAATTATTCAAGATCAAAACCTATCACGCCTCTATGAGCGCCTGCTACAACTATAAATATAAATATAAATATAAATATAATAAATATAAATATAGTTAAATATAAATATAAATATAAATATAAATATAAATATAAATATAAATATAAATATAAATATAAATGTATCAGATTATAATCTATATCTTTTTCTTTTTTTAATTTTAGATCTACGAAGAATTCTGCCAAGCTTTTGGAATGTTCAACTCGATATCCTACAATCCTTTGTCACCCGAATGCGAAGAGTTTGAACCGGATTATGAGATTTTTAAGGCCAAAAGCGAGGGCTTGGAGAGAAGGCTTTGCTCTGTCTTCGAACAGGCCCTGGACGATATTTCAGACATCACTTCATTCATGAAGGTAATAATAGATTGATAATGTAAGTATTAATATTAAGTATTAATATGCTCTGCTATCATAGTTTTGAATTGTTTTGGATTTTTTGAATTATTTTTATGTTGTTGTAAACGTTTCATCAGGTTCTGGTTTGTTTCTCCTATGTAAATTAAATTACAATCTAGACAATTAATTTGATAGACGAGATTTCTAAGTCGTTTGATATTGAAAGGGGTTTTTGTTTTGGTAAAAATAATACTAGTTGTTGTTTTTATTGATACTATGCCCGATTATTAGACTATGTTAATATATATATATATATATATATATATATAATAAAAACAACAACTAGTATTATTTTTACCAAAACAAAAACCCCTTTCAATATCAAACGACTCAGAAATCTCGTCTATCAAATTAATAATATCTATATATATATATATATATATATATATATATATATATATATATATAATTTGTCCTAAATTATTTTACAGTTGTTCTACATCATGGGCAGTTTACCATTCAGGTCTCAACTTAAAGAACGTGTCGGAGACCAGATTCACAATGTCATTCCCATGTTTGAAGAAGAATTGGACACCGTTAAGGTGGATAAAATATAAATATTAATTCTGAAAGCTTTCTTTCAAACATTGTAAAGATTATAAAGAACTAGCATTAAATTTTTATTTTTCAGTATTATATGTAACATATAAATTTAATTTTTTACCTCTTCAGGCTATATTTGACGAGGGCTATGCCGACTATGTAAAAGGGGGCGTCAAAGCTATGACTGTTGACAAATTTGCACCCCCTGTATCCGGAACCTTGAAGTGGATACATAAACTGAGATCTCGCATTCAAGTGCCACACGATGAGTTTCCATTTCTAGAAGTCGAGTAAGACACTTAGAACTACTGTGCATATTATCTAAATTTTCTTTTACTATATTATAATTATTATTTCTATCTTACCAGTGTATTGGCAACTCCCAGAGGAAAGTATGCAGAACGTAAATACAAGCAAATGATGAAACTGTTGGACGATCTGCAGGCAGAAGTTTTGGCAGAGTGGAAGGCCAAAGCTCCTCAGGTTATGGGTGAACATATGCCGAAGACTTTGCTGGTTGTTGACGAAGACGGGTTGCTGAGATTGAATTTCGATGAAGAGGTAATAATAATTTTAATAATTAAAGTGTGGCCAATGGATATGAAATTTAAAAGCTGTTTGATGAAATCCCATAATGGATCGGTTTGATAAGAATTGCCCCACTATTGGCCAAGTTGTTTTTTTATAAGTACCTGAAATGTGCAACAAATTTTGTCGTCGTTTTTGTACAAAAACTGTTCTAAGAATATCATTTGGGAAACGAAACACTTTCACTTCATTCATTTTCTAATTTCTTGTTTTTTGCACTAAACACACAAAATATATTTTACTTTTATATTATACAAGTTTTAAATATTGTTTAAAACACTCCAATGCTTATTTACTTTAATTAAAATGTACATCGAAACAAATATACATATTAAGTATGAACAATGTTCGTTTAACGGAACAATTTGATTCTTAATGCTTAATTTCCTTTATCTGTCTCTTTCTTTCGTCATATGTTCGAGCGAGAACGCGATATATATTCACGTCATATGGCAATACTATTTTCAAATGTTTAAAACCCGATTGTCCAACATAAATAGTGATAAATTGTGAAATATTTATTTATAATACTTATTATTACTGATAATACTTGTTATTTAAATAACTGGGATACAATAAATTTAAATAAATAATAATCTTGGGTCAAAATATTTGTTTTTATTGGCTAGAATTAGTTAACTATTTGTTAGGAAGAAGTGTTATTTTTAAAGTGTTTATAAAATGTAAAATTAAGGACATTTTTCTTATATATTAAATTTTGATTTCATTCAGGAGACCCTTAAATAATAATGGGTAGTACTTTTCTAGGGCAGGCTTATGAGCTGTGTTAAATTCCACCTCGATTCATGGAATAGTTTGAGAGATTTCCCATTGTCATATTTTCAAATGGAAACTTATTTTTGATCTATATTTTCAAGTGAAAACTGACATTGCTACTGCACGATATCAGGGCTTTGTTATACACCTCATTATATATATGTTGATAATTTTAAAGGTTAACTTGATTTTATTCTTACTTGAAACTCAATTTGTGTATGCAAATTACAAACATATTTTATGATACAGTATATTTTATGAGATATGTATTATATTTATAAATTATTCTATTTTTTATTTCAGTTAGAAGAACTTATGTCCGAATTGAAACAGTTGGCTCAGTTGGAAATACCTGATTTACCGTGTGATGAGATTACTGAGAGAAGTGAAAATTTGCAGGTAATAAAGTTAATAATCTATATTAATAAATTCCAAGCATAGTAAATTATGTATAAAACAATACTATCAAAGCAATATCTTTGTTGATCATAATTTTTAATGCCAATAAACAAGCATAAGATAGCGTTGCCATGACAATGCTATTTAATGAGCTCTGTTACGTAAGAATTGCCCCAATATGGTCATCGAGAGTTTTTTTACATTTAAGCAGCATTACGTGAATTTATTATAATTTACAGAAAACTATAATTGTAATGCGTCGTATTGTGGAATGGTACAACATGATTCTAACCAGATGCAACGAGGTTGAATTTGATTTGATACGAGAGGAAATGGAAGCATTAGACGACAAATTAAGAGAGGCTGTTGATAATTTAACTTGGGACTCTGATAGTAAGTCTGAATTAAACACATATCGAAAACTTCTTCTGCACCATTTCCATTTATAATATTTTTTTCCCAGATATCGAATATGCCCAAGAGGTCTATGACGTTTTATCAGGAATTGCAGAACGTGTGGTACGTGCTCAGGATGCAGTCGATGCTATGATCAATCAAATCAGGGAATTTGGAAACGTACCATTGTTCTCCAGGAAAGATGGTAAACGGGAGAATCTGATTTATCTGGACGACTATCAAGATCGTGTTAGGCAAAGGTTGGATAAATGAGACACCAGAGACATAAATAAATAAGAGACATATAAATGTTAACTAATGATTTGTCTTGATCAGGTTTGATTTGGTGAAGGAAGCTGTTCTCGATTTGGATGACACGATGGATTTGAACTATAAATTGTTCTCTGGTATACCAGTGCCTACTCTGGAAGAACTGAGGGCACAAGAACAGGTTGAATTATAATAATAATTATTATTATATTTATATGATAATTATAAAGGTCTACGCCGTATATCTCAAAAACCAGTAAAGTTGAGAATTTTTTAATATTAATATTTGAAAGTAAAGCGAAAAAGATTTATATCCAGCCATCACCTTCATACAAAGTTGGGAGATAAATGGCAATGTTTGAAAAGAATTTTTGTTGTTGTTAATTTTCTTGCTTGTGAGCACTGTTGTTTAGTTTACAAGACTTAAATATAATTTTTAAGTATACGTGACTTAATTGTTTAATAAGATGAATTGTTAATCCTGTAGGGTAAGTTATAGTATTGGGCCGAAAATCGAAAATGTAAATTTTTGCATATCTTTACGTTTCAGAAGTTTCTGAACATTTTGGCATACCTTAGAAAAAAATGGATGTATGTGTGTGTGTGTGTGTGTATGTACGTGCGTGTATGTATGTGTGCGGATACAAATTTTCGTCGACGATTTCGGGAACACCGATCAACCGATTTTTATAATTCAAAGAACATTCGATTCGTATTGATAAGGAGACGTGCTGATTAGTTTTTGGCGAAAGCAGGTCTAGCCATTCCGAAGATACGGGGCAAAAAGTGCCGAAAACGGTAACTCAGTAAATCAATTCAATTAATAATTCAAAAAACATTTTACTTGTATTGATAAGGTGAAGAACCGATCAAATTTTCATAAAGGCAGGTCTAGCGGTTTCGGAGATCTAATGAAAAAAGTAAAAAAACATGCCATTTGGCGGTCCAAAGTGATCATTAGACATATGCATATCAAATTATCAGATATTTTATAGAGATCTTAACAATAAGTATAAATTTGGTTTACATTCCTATGGGTTCCGTACCAATGTTTACGCGTTAGACAGCGACGCGGCGCTTACGCGCTTTGATATTTGGTCTTTATGCAGTTAAAGCAGTACGATTGCTTTGAAAAAGTTTAGATCTTTCAAAGTATGTCAAAATGAAAAAAAAATTTTTTTTCAAAAAAAAATTAAAAAAAAAAATAATAAATTTTGTCCATTTTATAGTTTCTCAAAAATCTTATTTTTTCGAAGTAAAATTTTTTCAAAAATGTTAATCGTTTTTAAAAAAATAATAATATTTGGTACGGGAAGTTCCAGCAATTTGCCTTAAGGCACGATGCCTTAATTGCCTTAAGACAGAATTCCACTTACAGCTAATTAGTATATGCTTTATAAAGATAGATGTTTCTAAATGTTTAATATTTCTAGGCTGAAGAAGCAGCGAGATTGGCAGAAGAAGAGGCGCGTCAAGCGGAAATTGCTCTAGCTGCAGCAGAGGCTGCCATGGCGCAGCAGGCCGCAGAAATGGCTGCTATTCAGGTAACTGCGAACATTCATAAAAATGTAATATATTTTTATTGTTTAAATTTTTTTATTGATAATTTATTTTATAGGAAGCAGAGCGCCTCGAGCAAGAAGAGGAAGAACGAGCTGCAGCTGCTGCAAAAGCAGCAAAAGAAAAGAGAGAAAAAGAGGAGGAGCTTGAAAAGCAACGCAGAGCTGAAGCCAAGTAATAAAGAATTAACCATTAATAATATTTATTTAAGAAAGCGAATAAGAAAAACTTAAAATTTTTCTTATTCGTAGGAAAAAGGAGGAGCTCCGTGAACTCATGGGCGAAGCTTATGAAGAGTCCATTGAGTCCGGTTTTGATGAAGATGAAGAGAAGGAAGCGGAGAAACCAAAAGAGGAAGAGGATGCAGCCGCTGCTGCAGCAGCTCAAGCGGAGGCTGAACAGGCCGAAGCCGAAGCAGCAGCTGCAGCAGCAGCCGCCGCTGCGGCGGCGGAAGCCGAGAGGGAAGCTGCTCTTGCTTTACCACAGTATGGAGAGATGGAAGAAGAGGAATATTCTGTGGAATCAGAAGGTAGAAATTTAGACAATTTATAACTTGATAAATTACACAGGCCAACAAAGAAAATGGTGCAAACGATTTTAATGCTATTTTTAAGTATATTTGGGGCGCTGATTTAAAAAATGACATTGGTTTTTTTCTATGAGCTTTAGTTTTCAAGATAAGATATATATATATATATATATATATATATATATATATATAATATATATATATATATATAATATATATATATAATATATATATATTATATATATATATATTATATATATATATTATATATATAACCTAATATATCATATATATATATATATATATATATATATATATATATATATATATATGATATATTAGGTGCGCAACTAAGTTTTCGCTGTTTTTTCGATGAAAATTTAGCTTTATTATAAAAAATTGCATCAATTGAGTTTGAAACAGTTTTTCAGTGATGGTTTCGCTCGGTTCCAACAGCTCATAACAAATATGTAGAGCATAACCTTTGCAGTGAATATTCGGCCGAACCGAGATTTTCTCCTCTTTGGATTGCTGTAATGTATTCATTTTTTATCACCTGTCACGATGTGATGAAGAACCTATTCTTTTGCGCCGCTGGAACAGTTTAGCAACTCACAAGGAACCGAAGTTTCTTGCTTCTAAAATCTAAATCATCCCCAACGCATGCAATAGCTTGGAAATGGCTTGATAGATAACTTCTAATTCTGAAGCAAGATCTTCTTGAGTTTGGCACGAATCCTCTTCGAACAAGGCATTAAATTTAGCGTTTTTGAATGTTTTGGCATTCCTTCACGAGGGTGGTCGTCAACATCAAAATCACCATTTTTGAAGCGACAAAACCCTTCACGGCATGTTGTTTTGCTCAGAGCAACATTTCCGTAGGTCTCGATGCACTTGAGTTCCCGTTTTTTTGAATGGAAGACGAAAATCAACACTCCTCGCAAATAACGATTGTTTAGCATAAAATTGGACATATTCACTTAACCAGAAATATATAATGCAAAAACGAAATCAATTATGTGTCGCAGCAGTTTGTTTACCTTCTATAAGCTTGCTTCAAGACGTTTTGGATTTGTCAAAATCGACCAACCCTTACTGCTAAAGCCATATACTGACAAACAGCGAGAACTTAGTGGCGCACCTAATATAAGAAACGAAAGTACAAAAGAGTAATACAATTCCGAATGTTATTTTAAGGAGATATGACTACTCGTACATACAAACTTACAAGACCCATTCGGCCTTAGTTGGGACATTAGTTGACACTGTGAAAAGTTCTCTTCCGTTACGACCTCAAATGGACCTGGTTTCGGCAACTTCTTTGTATCTAAAAAACTAGAGCTGTACAAAAAAATGGTTTGCAGATTTGAAATCAGCGCAAAAGATACTATAAGAATCAGCTCTAACATTTGATGCACTAAACAAAAAATTTTTTTGTTGGCCTGTTTTATATTTAATTAACACGCTTAGGACAAGTTATATAATAATCGCAAAAAATCAAAAATGATGATTTTTTTTATAAATCTTTACGTTTGAGAGATTTCTGAACATGAGAAAAAAATGATATATGTGTGTGTGTATGTATGTGCGAATACAATTTTTCGTCGACGATTTCGGGAACACGAGTCAACCGATTTGAATAATTTAAAAAAATATCCGATTCATTTTGATAAGGGGACGTGCTGATTAGTTTTCGGCGAAGGCACGTCTAGCCGTTATGGAGATACGGAACAAAAAGTTCAGTTTTTTGTTTAGTGTTCTCGAAATCGTCGACGAAAACGTAAAATACATAAAAATTTTCATTTTCGATTTTTTTGCAATTACTATAACTCACCCTACGGAAAGTTAAAAAGTTTAAAATTTTCAAAATATTTCAAAGTATAGAAAAAAATTTAATGTTTCAATAACGCCATTTTTTTTTCAAAAAATTCCAAATTCTTAAAAATCTAATTCTTTCAAAGTTTTAAAAAAATTGATACTTAAAAAAAAATTGTGCGGAAAGTTCCAGCAATTTTCCAATTACATTTGGTTTATTAAATTATTTTCTGCACGGAAATTTAACTAAATTTATTTATATATTTTTATAGCCGAACCTGAATCTGAACCGAGTGAAGAGAGCGAAGAACCTGAACCTGCACCTGCACCACCAGTTCCTTCAGAACCTCACATGGAGATGCCATTAGAAGGCGAAGGATACATGGAAGATGAAGGTCAGTACTTTATATTAAGGATATTTTGTGCTCAAGCTCTTACCTCCTCAAAATTTTACCATGTTGTCGTTTTTTAACCGTGGCTGCTTTGAAAATGAAAATTTTAACTCATCTTCACGTTTCAAAGGTTTCTGAATATTTTGGCATACCTTAGAAAAAATAGATGTATGTGTTGAGTGTGCGGATTTGAGTGAACCGATTTGAATGAACAAAAAAATTCCTATTCCTATTTATAGGGATGATTAGTTTTCGGCAAAGGCAGGTCTAGCCGTTTCGGAGACACGGAGCAAAAAGTGCCAAAAATAGTAATTCTGTTTCTGAGGTTTTGAATGATTCAAAAAACATTCCTCTTGCATTGACGAAATAAAGAATTGAGTAAATTTTGGGAAGGCAGTTTCAGCGATTTCGGAGATACAGAGGAAAATTGGCGGTCTAAAATCATTAGACATATGTACATCAAATTATCAGATATTATAGAGAATTTAACCATGAGTACTATTTTTGTTAGAATTTTGGGTTTCGTACCAAAATATTCAATTTTTGAAGTTCACTTATACGGTTTAAACAAATTTCAAAATTTTCAGATTTTTTTTTCAAAAGTTTCAAAAAATATATAAAGTTTTACAATTAACTTCCCGTAGGGTAGTTATAGTAATGGGCCGAAAATCGAAAATGAAAATTTTTACATTTATTTACGTTTTGAAGGTTTCTGAACATTTTGGCATACCTCAGAAAACATGGATGTGTGTGCGTGTGTGTGTTTTGTATGTCCGCATTTTTTCGTCCACGTTTTCGGGCGCATTGACCGATTTGTACGGTTCAGAAAACACTCGATTCCTATTGATAGAGAGATGTGCTGATTAGTTTTTGGCAAAGGCAGGTCCAGCCGTTATGGAGATACGGAGCAAAGAGCGCAGAAAATACAAATCGAGTTTTTGAGAGAACGGAGTATCCGATTTGAGTGAACTAACAAACATTCAATTTGTAATAATGGGGAAAAGTGGTGATTAGTTTTTGGAAAAGGCAGGCCCAGCTATTTCGAAGATACAGAGCTAAATGTGCAAAAAATGGCAGTTTTTGAGAGAACTAAGCGACCGATTTGAATGATTCAAAGAACTTTCTGCTTTTTTTAACAAAATAATTGATTTTGGAAAAAAAATTGTTTAAAAATTTTTTTTTTTCAAATTTTTTTTTTACAATAAATATAAATTTTAAATATCTAATTCAGTTTAAAAATGTATAAATTTCATATGCGTATTGTTTCATATTATTGTAATCGTAAGAAATATATCCTCAGATGGATTCATTCGGCTTAACTTGTTAATGTAAACATTTTTAAGTATTTTATGCGACAAGATCGTCACTGTATATTATATGAACAAATAGATATATAGTAATTATAATTATATCTTTGAAAATATTCAAAACAATTGTTATTAATCATTGATCAATATTTATTGATTATTAATTTTTTTTCTTCGAATATTTAATTGTGGTACGGAAAGTTCCAGCATTTTGTCTTAAGGCACGATGCCATGCACTACTAGTTTAATTCTCGGTTGTTTTCTAAAATATATGCCAGAAAACGTATTGGAATTAGTTTTTCATCTTTTACCATTTTTAGATTATTTCGGCGTCCAGCCGCCGGTAACGCCAGCCGAAGAGGTTGCAGCCGAGCCTAAGAAACCGAGACGAAAGGGTCGCGTGCCCAGAGTATCCGTAATACTAACTCCTTCCCAGGCCTTGTTAGAACCTATTCGCAGAGAGAAATTCAAGGCTTACGAGGAGTACATGGACGAACTAATTGAAGCCGAGCTTGTCAACGCTTGTCTGACGAGGTAAATAATCTTATATATAAAAATGGAGCTCTCGATCAAATGATCCGCTAAAACTCGAGAACGGCTAAACCGATTTGATCAGACTTAGTCTTGAGAAATTCGTTCTATTCAGTAGGTTGTCGGAAAGGTGAGACATTATTTCAAAATCGCGTGGAAACTTTACATTTTTAATTTGAACATTTTAGTAGAAGCGTAATTTAAATAAAACTATGGACGGTGGCTAATACGTCAAATGTCGAACGTTTTTGACTGATGATGTTCAATTACGTTTAATAGGATGTTTTACGTGAATATTATTTAATTATGATTAAATTGTACTAAGTAGTTTTGTTCGCAGTTATATTTATACACTAAAACGTTAGTAAACGGATCGCAAGTTTCACTAGAAACTCTAAATATCAACTTTTTTGAAATGTTAATATGAAAATGCACTTTTTGGCGTTGCAGTTTTCTTTTTTTTGCAAATCATATTTTTCTCAAGCACGGTACTCTGAAAAATCTCATTTGTATAATTATATACTCATTGGTATTTATAAAACATTTTCTTGATTATATTATTTTTTATTTGTGTTATTTAAATTCGGAACCTAAATTTGGTATCGATCAAAGGGACATTTTGTCGAATAACATTTTCCCAGTTACAATTTCCCAGAATTTATCGAAGAATAGATAGTAAAATATGAAGGTCTGGGTTTCAAAAGGTTCACCACCGATGTGTCAAAAACCAGTAAAGTTACGCATTGTTTAAGCACAAAATTTGAAAGTAGAGGGAAAAAGATGTATAACCAGCTATAACCTTGATCTTATGACTTTGCTATCGGGAGATAGACGGTAATCTTTGAAAAATCCATAAAAAAGTATTTTCTTCCGTTGGTAGTTTTTTGGCATTAATTAAAAATGTAATTATTTTGTAAAATGTCTTTAAAATTGAAATAAGACATTAAACCTGTTTGCCATCTGGCCGTTCCAATGTTATTCCGCCTGTAGGGTAAAAAGGTCTAGATAACAAATTTTTGAAAGACATCAAAAAAGCACATTTCTACAATGATAAAGTAGCTGGCAGTTTTACTGAACGTAGTCAGATAATTGTTCGTTTGAAATGTGTTATTGGTTGTGATATAATTAGTTTGGTTTTTAAAATATAATTAATATTTGCTCAAAGTCAAATTTGACTTTTGTGCCTCGCCCTGCTCTACATATATACTTTTTATTAAATTTACTTTTATTCATGGAATGTTACTTGAAACTTTTCATAAAACAGGTCAAAGAAGAAATACTTAATCCATTTTCGATCACTCCTCGCAGAAATTTGAAAATTTTGTATAAGCTCATTAGTATTATTTACAGTTTTACACAAAATCCAGAATCCAAAAAGAATCTGAAAAACTTGAAACGTAATCAATAAGTCGAAAGACCAAAAAAGACTTGGATTGGATTATACCATGTTTTCTGTGGAAAGTGTATAAAACTTACAGTTTGATTGTATTGACAAAATATAGACCAACAAATGGGGTTTATTGTTTTTATAATACGTCATTGTATATAGCATTCAAATAACACATCCTTATATACTTAAAGTATTAATTTTTTTGTTTTTCTAGAAATTGTTTAGAATATACCTTACTTAGTCACCTCAAAACAACATTTGCCGTGTCAGCTAGTTTGATAATTTTTATTTTATTTTTTTTATTTTATTTATTTATTTAACGCCCAAGGCAATGATACAATATAATTACATTCTAAAGTGTACAAATTATAAACTAATGATAATATGAGAAAATTTGAATATTAAGTATTCATATATAGATTTGTATATATACATAACACCTAATATATATAAACTACAAATATAAAACATTAAATAAAAACTAATAAAATTAAAAATTTAATAAAAACTAATAAAATTAAACATTTAATAGACTATAAATCACTACTTAAGACAGTCTTGAAGGATAATTTCTCTGGCTTGATTTTTTATATTTGACACCGACAGACCAAATATTAGGTTGTCAAATATCTCCCGTCCGCTTTTTTGCTCTTGGTTTATAATACAAAAAGGCGGAAGGGAGATATTTGACAACCTAATATATCAATCTCAGAAGCAAATTCATTTATTATTTTCGAAATTCTGAACATGGGTGCGCGTGAAACAAATTTGGTTTTAACAGTGGGTATTTCTTAAGTTCTATTATAACGTAACCTAACATTAGATATAACAAATTTGTATAACAATAAAATCATAAAAATCACATTATGGCTTGTTTTTCATCTTGGTTTTCTCTCCTGCTCAGTATAAAGTATCTCCAGGACGAGACCGAGAGGCGACAAAATATATTTCCTTCGTTCACTGTCGAAATGATTTTGGACGGAGAAGATATCCTGTTTCATCCTGCTTTGGGATCCTGAGGATCCTGATGGACTTTTCGTGCTATTGGACAGAATGTGCGATGATATTGGCAAAATGGCTGAATTGGTTCCTAGAGTGGCGAAGTCTTATGGGGAAGATAATTATAAAAGTAAGGCTTAATAGATAGATACTTAATAAATTGATTTTTTCTTCTACGATTATTATCATTTCAGGTTCGATAGATGAGAATGCTGATTTCATGGATATGAGAAAAATGCTTCAGCATCATGTATCGAGTGCAGTAGATAGAGCTGGATCATGCCCATGAAATGGAAGTTCATTCGTATTTATGGACTGAGGATAGACAGGTATAAACAACTGATTTTATTTTATTTTTTTTTATTTAATTTTTTTTATTTTATTTTTCACTTATCTTCATTTAAGTCTTTTCTAAAGCCAAAATGTTTTTTTGCGTTGTAGGAAATGCTAGATCAATTTATGACGTACAATCATTACCTTACACCCGAAGAAATTGAAATGGTGGAACTGGATCCCAATTCTGTAAAAAAACAAGCGCCTACATTGAATCAGTTCAAGGAAATGGTAAACTGATATGTATTATATTTATATTTATATTTATATTACGGATACAAGAATTAGGGGCACAACTAGTGTAACCGCCTAAAAAAAAAGGTGATTTTTGGGAATTAATATTAAAAAAACTACTTTATCAATCATTTCAAAATTTTAGGAGTATATTTATACATGTTTTAAGAATACATAGTAAAATTTTTGAAGAAAAAAATTAAATATTTTTTAAGTTATCGTCGGTCTCCAACGGTGCGATAAAAAAAGGCCCGTCATTGCTGCAGTGATTCCGGCCTTCTACGTGGATGAAATTTAAAAAAAAAAATCTCGTTAAAATAGATAATATTGTCTGTAAAATGAACTACGATAAAGAAAAAAAATCAAAAATTGACAAAATGACGGCGTTTTTAAAAAAAGAGTCGAATTATATCTAAAATTTTGGTCGTTTTTGGACTGCCAAAATTCGATTTTTGATTCGATCAAAAAATCGATAGTTTATTTTACAGAGAACAATATATAGAACATGTGAAAAAAAATTTGATAATGATCGGATCATTTGTTTTTGAGGAATCGCTGCAGCAAATTCGGAAAATTCTGTTTCGAGAAAAACGCGTTTAAAGATAAAATGATCGTTGTACTATATACTACATATATATATATACTTTTTAAATGTCTGTAACTCAAAAACTATTCAAGATATCGATTTGAAATTTTTATATATTATTTTCTACCGGTGTAATCTAACGAAATATAAAAAAAAAACAAAAATCGATTTTTTCGAAATTTCACATTAGTTGTGCCCCTTAATTTATTATTCACTTCTTCTAAAGAATTGCTTCTTATAATCACACTGGTATCGTCGGCAAAAAGAATACATTTACAGAGATCTGTACAATTTGGCAGGTCGTTTATGTAGATGAGAAATAATAATGGTCCGTGAATTGAGCCCTGAGGGACACCGAGTTTAATATTTTGTTTGTCTGAGATAATTACTGAACCACGATCATTAAGATAAACAGATTGAGTCCTATTTGATAAGTAAGATGAAAATAATTCAAGAGCTATACCTAAACTATATATATATTTGACTATTTTGGAAATTTATTGATCTTTTATGATATCTTTTTATCTTTTATTTATGATATTTCTTTATCTTTTCAGATCATTAAATACAACAAAATGTATGATACCATCAATGAGTCTATAGAAGAGACCAAAGTGATAAACTTTTGGCTTCAATTAGATTGCAGACCATTCAAGCAGACTTTGCTGAACACGGTCTGTAAATGGGCAAACATGTTTATGCAGAATCGTGTGAATTTCGTGCACGACAGGTAAGGCAATTAAAATCTTATATATAAAAATGAATCGGAAAATGTGTTCGTAAACGCATAACTCAACAAAGCTTGGGCCAATTTGGCCAATTCTTTTTTTAAAATGTTCGTTGAAGTCCAAGAATGGTTTTTACGGCGAGAAAAGTTCAAATAATTGCCGGGAAAACCCTAAAAACAGCCCTTTTCTTTTTTTCGTACAAACGCTTTCTAACTAAAACGTGGAATCAATTTGAGCTTTATTGCTATTATATAAAGTTCATATTAAATTACAAGCACTCACTGTTTACTCCTCTTAAATTAATATTCGGGTTTTGATAAATCTTTCTGAAGTTTATTAAGGAAATTTTCTAGGATGTATGTGATTATAAAGCACTGGGATGTATGTGCAATATTGAAGAAATAAACGGAGAAAATTGCTAAAAATCGACATGTCACTATTTGCATTGAAAATAAATGAAAACTATCATCTGCCAAAAAATTCAATTTACTTATGAACCTAGATAATATTAGAATGTGTATAATAAATTTATGATAAGATAGGAAAAATGAAATGCTACATTATTATTGCTAAAAAACAGCTGAGATATGTCAGAAATTAAAATAAGATACAGTATATGTATGGCAAATTGAATGATACACATATGAACAAATATGACAAATTAATTCACTTAAAATATGAAATTAAGTATGAATCAGAGCCGGTCTTACTAATGCGATGAATGCGAAAAATACGAGCGCACGCCTTAGGGGGCGCCAACACAAGATTCGGATATTAAATTTTCAACATAGTTTTGTTTTTAATATATAAGTTTTTTGCGTCTTTTACTAATCTTTCCACAATATTTTTAAAATTCGTACAAAATTTACTTTATAAAAACAAATGGGGAAGTAAAGATGAATACATACAGTTCAGCCCTCACGATATCGATTAGGAGAAGTTTAAGATGCAATTTTGGAAATCTTAAATAATAAAAAATTAAATTAATTTAATCCAACATGAAGTACCAGTGTTATGTTATGGTTATGGTTATGTTATATCGTTTAAAAGACTTAAATTTCCAATATAGTGTGGGCATTGAGTCGTCATCATTTTATTTAAAGCAGTTCTACATTTAACATCGCTCATGTTATAAATGTATATGCATTTTGGCGTGAAGGGTAATTTAAAAAACAATAATTATTATTTTTAGGTAAACGGTAAATATTAGTATATTATATTAAAAAATTGTAGACATGGGTACAGAACAACGTCTGTCGGGTCATCTAGTTTATCAATAAAAATAAATATTGAAATTCCAGTATCTTATCTATTGTCATTTATATTTTTCCAGTTTGGATAATTTGCAAGACTTCATTGCGGTCACTTCCAAAGAGTTGGCAAGGGAAGTAAAGGAGGGCGATTTGGAGTCTCTGCTACAAGTGATGGCTCATTTGCAAAGGGTTACTGATCGACAAGATGAAACCGATGGCATGTTTGAACCATTGGTTGCAGTTATGGAAATGCTGAAAGAGTTTGGAGTCGAGTTTGCTGATTCTGTATATGATCAGGTAGATTGTCAACTTTATGGAATAAATGTAACAATCTAATTATGTTTTTCTATACTATTTCTAGTTGAGCGAGTTGCCTGAAGAGTGGATGAAACTGAAGAAGACAGCTATGCAAGTGAAGCAATATATTGCACCCATTATTGCAGCAGAAGTCAGCTTGATTAGAAAACGTTTGGCTTTGTTCGATATTCAGCAGTCTATCTTTAAGGACAATTTCAAACTTAGTCCGGTGAGTAATAAGATTATTTTTAACTTCACGTTGGGTAAGTTATTGTAATCGTCCGAAAATCAGAACTGAAAATTTTTGCATTTCTTCACGCTTTGAAGGTTTATGATGATTTTGGCATACTTTAGAAAACTGGATGTGTTTGTGTGTGTATGTACGTATGTATAAAATTTTTTGTCCTCACTGATCAACCAATTTCAATGGTTTAAAAAGCATTCGATTCCTATTGATAGGGAGATGTGCTGATTAGTTTTTGGCAAAAGCAGGTTCAGCAGTTATGGAGATATGGAGCTGAAACTACAAAAACATGCAGTTTTTGATAGAACTAAGCATCCGATTTGAATGATACAAAAAACTTTCTGCTTGTATTGACGAAACAATTGCCTTTGGAATTTTTTTTATTTATTTTAAAATTAATTTATTTGTTTTCAGTTTTTTTTTTTAAAGATTTTTACTTTCTGTAGGGTCAGTTATAGTGATCGCAAAAAAATCAAAAATGAAATTTTTTGCATATCTTTACGTTTCAAAGGTTTCTGAACATTTTGTCATACTTTAATAAAAATGGATGTGTGTATATATGTGTGTGTTTGGATACAATTTTTAGTCCACGATTTCGGGCGCATGGATCAACCGATTTGAATGATTCAAAAAACATTCGATTCCTATTGATGGGTAAATGTGCTGATTAGTTTTCGGCAAAGATAGGTCTAGCTGTTTCGAAGATACAGAGGAAAAAGTAAAAAAAATGATATTTGGCGGGTAAAAATGATCATTAGACATATGCACATCAAATTATTAGATATTTGATAATTTTTTTAAAAATGAATACTAAATATGTTGTATTTCGTACCTAGATTGTTAATTTTTAAAGTTCACTTATACGGTTCAAGCAAATTTCAAAATTTTCGGAAAATTGTTTTTTAAAAATTTTCAAAAATATACAAAGTTTTATACTTCAAATATAAATTTTAGATTTACAATTCAATTTGAAACTATATATATTTCAAATGCGTTATTCTACTCATAAGAAATATATCCTCAGATGGATTTATTCGGCATCTCTTGCTAATGTGAACTTTGTCCAGTGTTTTCAGCGATAAGATCGTCAATGTATATTTTATGAACGATAAAATATATAGTGATTATAATTATCTCTTTGAAAATGTTTAAAACAATTGTTATTAATCATTGATCAATATTTATGTATACTGATTTTTTTCTTTCGAATATTTAATTCTGGTACGGAAAGTTCCGGCAATTTGTCTTAAGGCACGATGCCATGCACCACTAGTTGTAATATTTAAATCGGATGCTCTGTTTACTCAAAAATTCGATTTCTATTTGCTGCACTCTTTGCTTCGTATCTCCGTAACTGCTGGACCTGCCTTTACTAAAAACTAATCTTCACATCTCACATTTTATGAACGATATAATATATAGTGATTATAATTATCTCTTTGAAAATGTTTAAAACAATTGTTATTAATCATTGATCAATATTTATTGATTACTGATTTTTGCCTCGAATATTTAATTGCGGTACGGGAAGTTCTAGCAATTTGCCTTAAGGCACGATTCCATACACCACTAGTTAGTTATTAATTCTAATTTGGTTTCTAACAGTTATATCGTGCTGATTGTAAAAACGTGTACATGAAAATTGATGCAGTCAACAAGGAACTAGAAGAGTTTGAGAGATCCATGGAAAAAATCTCGACGTCTGCCAAATTGTTTGAATTGAATTTGCCGGATTTCAAACAACTGAAGCAAGTTCGAAAGGAATTGAAATTACTGAAAGTGAGTAAACAAAATAAATAACAAATTCTTTCCATTAAATCTATCTTTTTTACCCCCAGAGCATGTGGGACATGTATCTAATAATCCAATCCTGCATCGACGACTGGAAACTGACTCCCTGGAAAAAGATTAATGTAGAAGATATGGATCAAGAGTGCAAGAAATTCGGCAAAGAATTGCGCTTGATGGACAAGGAGATCAGAAATTGGGAGCCTTATATAAAAGCCGAAGCGGATTTGAAAAATCTGATGACTTCTTTGAGGGCCATCACGGAGTTGCAAAATCCTGCGATCAGGGATCGGCATTGGTTGGAGTTGATGAAGACGACGAAGGTAATAGGATTGATATATTAATTTCCCGTAGGATAGTTATTGTAAAGGGCCGAAAATAGAAATTGAAATTTTTTGCATTTCTCGACGTTTTGAAGGTTTCTGAACATTTTGGCATACCTCAGAAAAAATGGATGTGTGTATGTGTGTACGTATTTTTTCGTCCACTTAGTACGCGGCATACATCATCACGTCATAGTTCATTTGTGTTATTATTTTTGTATTACTGTTTTTATTAACTTCCCGAAGAAGTTTGTTTTCATCAAAAAATTCGATTCGCTAATTTAATTTTTTCTCGACGTTTCAAGCCATTCCGAATCGATTGAGACCAAATTTGGAAAAAGTATGTGTGTGTGTGTGCGTGTATGTGAACAGATTTTTTGCCGTAAATCGCCGTTTTCTCAAAAACGGCTGGATCGATTTCAAAAATTTAAAAGCCATTCGATGTATCTCGATTAGGACTATTATGTTAGGACTATTGTTTGTCAGTTTTGTGCGACGATCGGCCAAGCCGTTTCTTTATAAATCGCAAAAAAGTGAAAAATTTTTCGTCTACGTTTTAGCCCGCAATTCTGAATCGATTTTAAAAATTCAAAAACCGTTCGAAAGATATTGGTTGGGAATCGTGCTGATTATTTTTTGGTAGGGATCGCCCGGGCCGTTTTCTTGTAATAAAGTTTAAAAAAAAAAAATTTCGACGATTTTTATGATTATTTTTTTGACGGTAGATACCATAGTCTTCTAGATCATACTAAAATATTACGGCCCTACGACAACTGGTTCAGCTTTAAAAATTCGTCAAAGTTTGCAAAAATTGGTATCGTTTTTTTGGCATTTGTCAAAATTAGACCTTTGAGCGACGTTTTCTCAGAAACGCCTGAACCGATTTTAGAAATTTAAAAGCCATTTGATGTATTTTGGTGAGGACTATCGTTTGTCAGTTTTGTGAGACGATCGGCCGAGCCGTTTCTTTGCAATTTGAAAAAAAGTGTTAAACTTTTCGTCGTTTAAAAAATCAAAAACTGTTTGAAAGATATTAGTTGGGAATGGTACTGATTAGTTTTAGGTGAAAATCTACCGAGCCGTTTTCTTGTAATTAACTGTTGGAACAAAAATTGAAGCCGATTTTTATGGAACTTTTTTTGACGATATATATCATGGTCTTATAGAACTTACTAAAATATTACGGCCTTACGACAAGTAATTTAATTCTAAAAATTAATCGAAGTTTGAGAAAATGAGTAGTTTTTTTCACGTTTGTTAAAATTAAAATTAGACATTTTACTTGGTATAACGATAGAGTACCTGGTCTTAATGAACATACTATACCATCAAAGTCCTACGGAAACTGGTTCAATTATAAAAATTGTTGATTTGTGAAAAATTTCTTTTAGAAAATAGTCGTTCGTTTTCAAATATGTTTAATAAATCCACTCGGAATACTTTTAATCACTCATAAATTAATTTATTTCCTATTGATTAAGTCGATTATTTACACATATCGGGAAGTTCATGCAACTAGCCTCAAGGCAAAATACCAATACCAACTAGTTTTGTCTAGATATTGGATTTGATTGTGGATTGATTTTTAGGTGAAGTTTGTAATGGACGAATCAACTACGTTATCGGATCTTCTAATTCTCAATTTGTACGAGTATGAGGAGGAGGTTAAAAATATTGTCGATAAATCTGTTAAAGAAATGGCTATGGAGAAAACGCTCACGGATTTGGATAATACGTGGTCTGCCTTAGAGTTTGATACTGAGGTGAATATTGTTACAAATTTGGTTTAGCTTCCAAAGCTCGTTTTCGATATTTGTTTTATCTTTTCCAGATTCACGAGAGAACTGGCATTAAACTGTTGAAAATTGCTGAAGAAACTGTGGAAATCTTGGAAGAAAACCAGGTACGCACATAAACTGCAAACTCTGTTATTTTTATTTATTGCATTTTTTTTCTAAAGGTGCAACTGCAAAATTTGATGACATCCAAATTTATCGGCTATTTCTTGAAAGAGTTTACGGATTGGCAGCTGAAATTGTCGTATGCCGATGCTGTTATTAGAAATTGGATGGAGGTTCAGAGAAAGTGGACGTACTTGGAATCTATTTTTATCGGATCTGAGGATATTAGAGCGCAGTTGCCTGATGAGTCGAATAAGTTTGATCATATCGATAAGGAATTCAAGGTAAAAACGAGAATATAATCGTCCAAAAATGGAAATTGAAATTTTTTGCATTTCTTCACGTTTTAAAGGTTTCTGAACATTTTGGCATACTTTAGAAAAAATGGATGTGTATGTGTGTTTGTGTGTGTGCGGGTACAAATTTTTGTCGACGATTTCGGGAACACAGTTCAACCGATTTGAATGATTCAAAAAACATTCGATACATATTGATAGGGAGATGTGCTGATTAGTTTTTGGCAAAGGCAGGTTCAGCCGTTACGGAGATGTGGGGCAAAGAGTGAAGAAAATACAAATCGAGTTTTTGAGAAAACGGAGAATCATTCGATTAAAATGATTCAAAAAACATTTTACTTGAATTGACACAGTGAATAAATGATTACATTCTTGCAAAGGCAGGTCCAGCTGTTTTGGAGATCCAGATAAAAAATTTAAAAAAATCGAGTATCAAAAACTTTCCAAATATTTCAGTATTCAAAATTTTCAAAAAAAATAAAGCTTTCCAAACATTTTGCATACCTTAGGTCAAAATATGAATGTGTGTGTGTGTGTGGGTGACGATTTCGGGAGCACTGATCGATCGATTAGAATGAAGTGAAAAAAGTTTTTAAGTAGTTTTTAACAAAAGCAGGTCCAGCCGTTTTGGAGATATGGAGCAAAGAGTGCAAAAAATATAAATTATGTTTTTTTAAGAACGGAGCTTCCGATTTGAATGATTCAAAAAACTTTCTGCTTGTGTTGACGGAACGATTGCTTTTGGGGAAATAATTTTTTTTTCAATTTTTTTATTTTTAATTTCCAAAGATTTTTTTTGTTAAAATATCGAAAATAATTCCGATGTTTATTTATTTATTTATTTATCTATTCAACATCCTAGGCAATAATACAATATAATTACATTTTAAAGTTTTACATTATAAACTAAAGATAATAGGAGAAAATTTGAGTATAAGAGTTCATAGATAGCTTTGTATATATACATAACACTTAATATATATAAACTACAAATATATAACATTAAATAAAAACTAATAAAATTAAACATTTAATAAACTATAAATCACTATTCAAGGCAGTTATTTAAGGATAATTTTTCTGGCTTGATTTTTTTTATATTTGTCACTGACAGACTAAAGATATCAATCTCAGAAGCAAATTCATTTATTGTTTTTGATATTCTGAACTATAATATGTTAATCTTAATTCTAGCTAAAATTCTAAACATCACTTATATATTTCAAATAAATAATTTTAACTTTGCAATTCAGTTTATATAAGTAGATATAGATATAGAAATTAGACAATGTTCTTTATTTTAAGTCCAATTGATTATGTTATGTTATTATGATATGTTATTATGATAACAAATTTTGTTCATTAACTTTTTATAAAATATATACCTGATCGAATAATGAAAGTTACATTATTTATAATAATCTATTTAGAAACATTTAATATTTTTTGTATGGGAAGTTCCAGAAATTTGCCTTAAGGTACGATGCCATATACATGTTTAAATTTCTAGCATATGTTGGAAGATATTCTGAAGACTCCAAACATTATACAAGGGACGAATAAGCCAGGCCTTGCTGAACGTCTTGAGGAGCTTATTGTGGAATTGACAAAGTGTGAGAAAGCTTTAAACGATTATTTGGAAACCAAGAGATTGTCTTATCCGAGGTAACATAATTTGAATCAAAATTATAGTATTTCTTGAAATAAACTTTTGAATATTTTCTTCGATAAGTTTGTTCTGTTATCTTACAGCATCTACATTCTATCTTCTATTATATTTTATATAATTGTTTTACTATTTTTCAGGTTTTACTTCGTTTCATCCTCTGATCTTTTGGACATTCTGTCCAACGGCAACAATCCAGAACGTGTTGGCAAACATTTGACGAAACTCTACGACAATCTTATGAAATTGTTAATGGATAAAGAGCAGCCTAAAATGGCACATGCGATGATGGCCAAAAGTCTTGGAGAAGTTGTCGAGTTTAAAAGTTTATGCGACTGTTCAGGACAGGTAGAGATTTTAACATTTAATCTTTATCGAACTTATTAATGAAACAATTTATTAACTTCCCGCAGAGTAGTTATAGTAATGGGCCGAAAATCGAAAATGAAAATTTGCATTTCTCGACTTTTTTAATAGTTTTCACAAAAGTGGTAAAGTGCTCCCATACATAAACAGTCTAAACGCACTCGGGTAAACATTTGTACCAGAGTGGCGCTTAGAATGTGCTTAGCCTTAACAATTTTTTTGAATTTTTAATTCAAAATTACAAAAATATTTAATGGGAAATAAAAAAAGATGTAATGATTTTTATCTTCAAAAGCAATTGTTTTGTCAATACAAGCAGAAAGTTTTTTAGATCATTCAAATCGGACGCTTAGTTCACTCAAAAACTGCCATTTTTTGCATAATTAGCTCTATATCTTCAAAATGGCGGGACCTACCTTTGCCAAAAACTAATCACCTCTTCTCCCAATCATTATAAATTGAATGTTCTTTAGATCATTCAAATCCAATACTCCGTTCTCTCAAAAACTCGATTTGTTTAACTAAACTAATCAGCACATCAGTTTTGAAGGTTTCTGAACATTTTTAAAGGGCATACCTCAGATTAATGGATGTGTGTGTGTATCTGTTTTGTATGTCCGCATTTTTTCACTCACGTTTTCGGGCTCACGGATCAACCGATTTGAATGGTTTAAAAAACATTCGATTCCTATTAATAGGGAGATGTTCTCATTAGTTTTTGGCAAAGGCAGGTCTAGCCGTTACGGAGATATGGAGCAAAGAGTGTAGAAAATAGAAATCGAGTTTTTGGGAGAACGGAGTATCGAATTTGAATGATCTAAAAAACATTCAATTAGTAATGGGGAGCACTTGTCCAATTTTGTGAAAACTATTGAAAAACGTGAAAATGCCGCCAAGCTACGCACAGTATAAGTGAAAATGTCGCCCAGAATTATTTACAAATGCGTTTAGACTGTGACTATACGGAGCACTTGTCCAATTTTGTGAAAACTTTTGAAAAATGTGAAAATGCCGCCAAGCTAAGCACAGTATAAGTGAAAATGACGCACGAAATTGTTTGCAAATGCGTTTAGACTGTGACTATATGGGGGCACTTTTTCAATTTTGTGTAAAATAGGCAACTATTATTTCTTTTTGAAATTGAATTCGAAATGAAATGACGATTGTTATAATGTTCTGGAGATATATTAATTAATATATTAATATATTAATTTATGATTCACATTTGATTTGCTCAGATATAAGTATTTGTAATAATATATTTGAAAATTTTTAAAATTTCTCGAATATTTCATTACGGTACGGGAAGTTCCAGCAATTTGCCTTAAGGCCCACTAGTTAATTTATAAATTTGTTCATTTTCTTTTTTCAGGTGGAGGTATGGTTAAATAGAGTAACGGATAGTATGCAGAAAACCCTAAGAGATCTCTTTAGAGATGCAGTGCATGCATATGAAGACAAACCTCGAGAGCAATGGTTGTTCGATTGGCCTGCTCAGGTCTCACTTTGTGGCACCCAGATCTGGTGGACCACAGAGGTAATCATCAAAGTCATCAATCATTTCTCATAAGGATTTCTATAGTTTATATTTTTGTCATAGGTTAATATCGCCTTTGGTCGCCTAGAAGAGGGCTACGAAAACGCAATGCGTGATTACCAGAAGAAACAAATCAACCAGCTCAACGCTCTAATTGTTCTCCTCCTTGGTGATCTGACACCAGGTGACAGACAGAAAATCATGACAATTTGTACGATTGATGTGCATTCCAGGGATGTCGTGGCTAAGATGATTGTTGCCAAAGTGGAGTCCATGTTCGCTTTCCAGTGGCAGAGCCAATTGAGGTAGACGAAGACAATGAAATAATTTTATTAAACAAAGTGTTATATCGTATTTTAAAAACAGACATCGATGGGATGAGAAAGAAGACGATTGTTTTGGAAATATCTGCGATGCTCAATTTCGATACTTGTATGAATATTTGGGAAATACTCCACGTCTTGTGATCACACCGTTGACTGATAGGTGTTATATAACACTCACCCAGGTGCGTATACAAAATACATCTAAGTCTGTTTTTACACGGTCTTTTTGTACACGGTTTTGATATAACACGGTTTGAAAATTGAATATTTTTAATTTTTTTACACGATTTTATTCCATTTAGCACGATTTGAAATTTTATGTACTTAAATTTTTGTGTCAAATTTAATTTTTGCGAAGTATGTTGATATCACAAAAAAGTATTTATGAAAAAAAAAGTCTGAAACCATCGATAGTATCGATAGTTTGCGAACACTAGCTTAAAGATTTAAGTGAATTCCCCTTTAGCGCGTACAAACAATTTTTACTGGTCAAAGCGAATGCGAATAACTGATGACGGTCGACAGCAATTAAATTTATGTTGTATTTATGATTATCACTTATTCTATTTTATTTTATTTTTTTGCCTTAAAAATTGAATAAACGTTCACAACATAGTTTTTTAGTTCCTGAATTTGCCATACATTTAATTTATATTACTTTTAAGATTAGAGTGCATATCTTTTTTAACTTCCCGTAGGGCAAGTTATAGTAATCGCAAAAAAATCGAAAATGAAAATTTTTATATATCTTTACGTTTCAGAGGTTTCTGAATATTTTGGCATACCTTAGAAGAAATTGATGTATGTGTGTGTGTGTGTGTGTGTGTATGTATGTACGTGTGTGTATGTATGTGCGGATACAAATTTTCGTCGACGATTTCGGGAACACGGATCAACCGATTTGAATAATTCAAAAAACATTCGATTCGTATTGATAAGGAGACATGCTGATTAGTTTTTGGCGAAGGCAGGTCTAGCCGTTCCGAAGATACGGGGCAAAAAGTGCCGAAAACGGTAACTCAGTTTTTAAGAGAACGGAGCGTCCGATTTAAATAATTCAAAAAACATTTTACTTGTATTGACAAGATGAAGAATTGATCAAATTTTCATAAAGGCAGGTCTAGCGGTTTCAGAGATCTAATGAAAAAAGTAAAAAAAATGCCATTTGGCGGTTAAAAATGATCATTAGACATATGCACATCAAATTATCAGATATTTTATAGAGATTTTAACAATAAGTATAATTTTTTTTTACATTTCTATGGGTTCCGTACCAATGCTTATGCGTTAGACGGTGGCGCGGCACTTGCGCTGTGACATTTCGTCTCTATGCAGTTCAAGCAGTACGATTGCTTTGAAAGAAAGTTCAGAATTTCCAAAATATGTCAAAATGAAAAAAACATCTTTCTTTTCAAAAAAATTTTCTGTTTTAAAAAAAAAATTTCTTCGAAAAAAAAATTTTTTTTTTCAAAGAAAATAATTTTTGGTCAAATTTATAGTTTCTCAAAAATCTAATTTTTTTGAAGTAAATTTTTTTCAAAAATGTTAATCGTTTTTAAAAAAATAATTATTTTTGGTACGGGAAGTTCCAGCAATTTGCCTTAAGGCACGATGCCCTAATTGCTTTTAGACAGAATTCCACTTACAGCTAGTTAGTTCCTGAACTTGCCATACATTTAATTTATATTACTTTAGATTAGAGTGCATATCTTTTTTATCATTAATTACTATGCTTGTGAAAATAAGCATTATATATTTGATTTAATAAAATAAACATGAATTCTTGTTTTTAAAAATTCTTGTTTTTCACTAATTTTAATAGGTTTTAAAGATTAGGAACAAATCACCCATTTTTATATAAGTTCAATGTCTTTTTTCACACGGTTTTTTTTTTACACGGCTTCTTCTGGAACCAATCTACCGTGTAAAAACAGACTTAGGTGTATTACCAATACCAAATTTTAATATTAATACGTATTTTATTTTTATCCCTCAGTCTCTTCATCTAATTATGGGTTCTGCACCAGCAGGACCTGCTGGAACCGGCAAAACTGAGACTACAAAAGATTTGGGTCGAGCTTTGGGCATTATGGTGTATGTGTTCAATTGCTCTGAGCAGATGGATTACAAATCTTGCGAGAACATTTATAAAGGTAAAGGGAAAAGTATAAGGTACTTGGCTTGATTTTAAACTCTGGACAACTTGATATCATGCATTAACTATAATGATGTTTTTAGGATTGGCACAATGTGGCGCTTGGGGTTGCTTTGATGAGTTCAATCGCATTTCTGTTGAAGTTTTGTCTGTCATAGCAGTACAGGTATGAATTTTGCAAAACGCCTTTTCTAAAAATGTAAGAACTTTTTTTTGAGTTTTTGAGAAAATTTAGGACTCATATTTAAGGTGACCATATTTTTTTAAGTCAAAACCGGGACAGCAATTTTTAGTTACTCAAAAATGATGAAAAGCGGGGGCTTTTAAATAACAAATGACAAAAAATCACAAAATATTACGTGGGAGGGTGAGGGGTTTTATAAGATATCACGTGTATTTATTTTTTACCTGAATTTTTAAAAAAATTCAAAAATTGTATGATTTTTTCATAAATTCGAAAAACTTAGCATGACTAATATAAACAATTAGATGTTTGGTGGGGTAGGGGAGTGGCTAATTTTAAATATTACGACGCATCACTAAAGTCCAAAATTCCAAAATTCCTAAAAAATTGATCTCAATCAATTTTGATTGATTGTTGCTCAAAAATGATCATTAGACATATGCACATCAAATTATCAGATATTTTATAGAGATTTTAACAATAAGTATAAATTTTGTTTACATTCCTATGGGTTCCATACCAGTGTTTAACCGTTAGACGGCGACGCGGCGCTTACGCGCTTCAATATTTTGTCTCTATGCAGTTAAAGCAGTACGATTGTAAAAAAAGTTCAGAATTTCCAAAATATTTCAAAACAAATTTTTTCTTCAAAAAGTCTTTTTTTTAAAAGAAAACAGTAAGTTTTTCTCAAAAATTTATAGTTTCTCAAAAATCTAATTTTTTCAGAGTATTTTTTTTTCAAAAATGTTAATCTTTTTGAAAAAAAATAATTTTTGGTACGGAAATTTCCAGCAATTTGCCTTAAGGCACGATGCCATGCGTCCCACTAGTTGATATTTGTAATATTCTTATTTATTTTGTTATTATTAAAGGTGAAGACAATTCAAGATGCCATCAAAACAAAAAAGCAAGTATTCAACTTCATGGGTGCCAAAATCGTATTGGTGCCGACTGTTGGTCTTTTCATCACCATGAATCCTGGTTATGCAGGCCGAGCAGAATTGCCTGAGAATTTAAAAGCTTTGTTTAGGTAATTGAGTTGAAATGGTTAAGAAGCCAGTAAACCACAGACGTTCAATTAAGTTAAAATAACGTAGCACAGAAGAAACGTCGTTACGTATTTAATAGTTACGTAAATGTTACTTATAGTTGTAACCTCTAAACGTAAATGCATTGTTTTTTTATTACGTAACCGCTATGTAACTTACTTTTCTCTCTGTGACTTTAGTGAACTCTCCATATAGAAGTATATTGTTTGACAAGCTAATTATTTCATTCATTTGAAACATTTATTTAATAACTAATAATTTATATGATTATTGTTTATTTAACATCTGTTACGTAATATTAACGTTTTGTGGTGTACCGGGAAGTTATTCAATTTTTCTCCAATCTAAAGGCAATCGATTTTTTTTTCAAAATGTTTTTCCAAACTGGCCAAGAATATATTCCTAAAATTTTAGGAACAAATTCGAATTATTTTCGGAATTATAGAAGAAATAGTGAGCAAGAGTCGAGCATGTATACGAACGGAACAAAAATTACGTAATATTTGTTACGTAATATTAACGTTTTGTGGTTTACTGGGAAGTTATTCAATTTTTCGCCAATCATTTTTAAGGGGGCAGCCTACTTTAGATTCTTAAAAACAATCGATTTTTTTTTGCAAAAATGCCTTAACAAATTAGCCAAGAATATATTCCTGAAATTTTAGAAACAAATTCAAATTATTTTCGAAATTACAGAAGAAATAGTGGGCAAGCGTAACTAAAACTTCGACGCGCGATTTCTAGGTTTTTCATTTTTTTTTAGATTTTTATCAATTGGCGGGAAAGACAGGAAAAAAACAAAATGTTTGATTAAAATGAGACAAAATTCATTGTATTTCAGGATTAAATATTTTTCTAGTAGTACCTGAAAAAACTTAAAATAATAGTTATAATTAACCCACTTTTTAAACAATTTAATATAAAATTTTGTATCAAAAAACATGATTTTTGTTTCAAGTTGCGTAAAATTGGTGAATTTCACTTTTTGTTCTGGATTTTTTAGGTTCAACTATTATTTATTTATTAATTTATGGCTTTTAATAGGTTCAACTAGAAACTATACTATTGAAAATATATATTTGTTTTGATTTTTTTTTTGTTCCGGATGGAAATTGTTGACCTGCATCTTTCCCGCCTGCACGCTCGTGGCGCATTGGCAAAATGCTTGTACCCGGCATATTATGACATACATTTTAATGAAAAAAATTGAGAAGAATGTTGAAATATATAACAATGAAACCTGCAGGTTTCGTTTTAATTACATATTTATTTCCTTTCGAAAAAAAATCAAGCAAGCTCCTTTCTTAATATGTATATATTTTATTATTATAGGCCTTGCGCCATGGTTGTGCCAGATTTCGCTCTGATTTGTGAAATTATGTTGGTGGCAGAAGGTTTTCAAGAAGCTAGGCTACTTGCCAGAAAGTTCATCACACTATACACTTTGTGTAGAGAACTTTTATCGAAGCAGGATCATTACGATTGGGGCTTGAGGGCCATCAAGTCTGTGCTTGTGGTTGCAGGAGCTTTAAGAGTGAGTGTTACCTAATTTTACCAATGATCTCATACCCAAGCCCAAAAAAGATCTTAAGATTAACATATAAACCTGATTCAAACTCCTTTAAATACAATCCGATTAGTGTGAAACATTATATAAATAATCAGGGCCGGTCCTGCCTTGCATGCGATGCATGCAAAAAATGCGAGCGCACGCCTTAGGGGGCGCCAAAACGAGATTCGAAAATGAAATTTATAATATATTATTATTTTTTGTATATTCTTTTTTAAATTGTTTATAATAAACAATCTAACTTAACTATAGATACGGAGACACAAAAAGCATATTCAATTTGCAAAGTGATACAGTAGAAACAATAAACCGATTATTAACTTTACAAGTTAGTAAATTATTGTTCTGCTTATTGTTTAATGTACTTATAACATTTTTTTTTCGTTTGAAGTTAACGTGAAATCTAAAAAAAAATTATCTAGTGTTCATCCCCTAGGCGCGAACCTACGAAAGTTTAAATTAATTATTGGGCGTTATTGATAAAAAATTGCGAGCTGATTTATTTGAAACGGTACTTATTAAAAAAAATATATACTAATTATAAGTCAGTGCTTAGAAAATGGATTGTTTATTCCGAGAAATTGAATTGTAACTTTTGTTTTTGTTTGAAATGTTTCGCATCTGATGAACTTTTAACGTTGAAGACATGCGTGGTTAGTGTTATGAAAAAAATTCAAAAATGACTTTGGAACAAAAATTGTTGAGCTTTTTTCATACTTAGTGGTGCCCATACTCTAAATTTAATTATTAACTATGCAAAAATAATGCAGATACAAATACAATCAGTTTTTTTTCAATATTCAGGAAATACGTGATTTCTTTGCATCTTTTACTGATCTTTGGACAATACTTTTAAAATACGTTAAAAATTTAACTTTAAAACAACAATCTGATACTCTGAATCTAATGATGAATCAATTCGGCCTCTACGATATCAATAAGGAAAAGTTTACGATGCACTTTTTAATATTGCAAATACTGAAAAAATAAATTAAAATAAAATTTAAAAAATTCTACGTGAAATACGAGAGTTATGTTAAAAATGAAAGGCTAGTTTTTTTGCTCGATTTGCTTAACCGAATAAATCGCATAATAAATGAGTAAAATGTTCAAATGTTATTAATGTTTAAAACCCAAACATTAATATTACACATATGTTAGAAATACTTGGAAATTTAAAAATGTTTGATTACGATCAACCCCCGAATTGCCTCGATTTTCTAAATAAATTTAAAATCCATGTATTTTACACGCTTTTAAATTATATCTAATTTTTCCTTACGTTTAAAAATTAATTGAAAAAATGTACGTAAATATTTAAATACTTTTATTGATAAACTGCTAAAATTATTGGGGGGGGGGTTGCAAGAACAAATTTTGCATGCGGGTGCTGAGGACTCCAGGACCGGCCCTGTAAATAATTATATATACATATTTTATCTGAAGAATCTATAATGACAGTGCTAAATAATCATAACCTACACACCGGGTTGTCGAATGAAAACACACACTCATCTTTATAAACTTTATCTGATGAGTTTGGTACTTTAACTCTGCCTAAATGAGCAGATAAAGTTTCTATATCCATTGTACAAATTATTAAATTTCTTCTGCCTTAATTTTTAAAATTATCAATTATAATTTTTTTGTTTATCATTTTCCAGAGAGGTGATCGCGAACGTCCAGAAGACCAAGTCTTGATGAGAGCTCTGCGTGACTTCAACATTCCCAAAATCATTACAGATGATGTTCCTGTTTTTATGGGACTCATTGGTGATTTGTTCCCGGCTTTGGATGTCCCGAGAAAGAGGGACTTGGATTTCGAGAAGGCTATTCGAAAAGCTGCTACCGAGCTGCATTTGCAACCGGAGGATGGTTTTGTGCTAAAGGTAATAATTTTTTTTTTATTAACTTCCCGAAGGAGAAGTTTATGTTTTCATCAAAAAATCCGAATCGCTAATTTTATGTTTTCTCGACGTTTCAAGCCATTCTGAATCGAATGAGACCAAATTTGGAAAAAGTATGTGTGTGTGTGCGTGTGCACCAACAGATTTTTTGCATCGCCGTTTTTTCAAAAACGGCTGGACCGATTTCAAAAACTTAAATGCCATTCGATGTATCTTGATGAGGACTATTGTTTGTCAGTTTTGTGCGACGATCGGCCAAGCCGTTTCTTCGTAAATAGCAGAGAAGTGAAAAGTTTTTCGTCCACGTTTTAGCCCGCAATTCTGAATCGATTTTGAAAATTCAAAAATCGTTCGAAAGATATTGGTTGGGAATCGACCTGATTAGTTTTTGGTAGAGATCGGCTGGGCCGTTTTCTTATAATAAAGTTAAAAAAAAATTTTTTTGACGATTTTTATGATTATTTTTTTGACGGTAGATACCATAGTCTTCTAGATCATACTAAAATATTACGGCCGTACGACAACTCGTATAGCTTTAAAAATTCGTCAAAGTTTGCAAAAATTAGTATGGTCTTTTTGGCATTTGTCAAAATTAGAACTTTCATCGACGTTTGCTCAAAAACGCCTGAACCGATTTCAGATATTTAAAAAGCATTTGATGTATCTCGATGAGGATTATTGTTTCTCAGTTTTGTGCGACGATCGGCCGAGCCGTTTCTTTGTAATTTGGAAAAAAGTGTTGAACCTTTCGTCCACATTTAAGCTCATACTACCGAACCGATTTTAACAAATCAAAAACTGTTCGAAAGATATTAGTTGGGAATGATACTGATTAGTTTTAGGTGAAAATCTACAGACCCGTTTTCTTGTAATTAACTGTTGAAAAAAAAAAATTTAAGCCGATTTTTATGGAACTTTTTTTGACGATATATATTATGGTCTTATAGAATTTACTGAATTATCACGGCCTTACGACAAGTGGTTTAATTTTAAACATTCATCAAAGTTTGAGAAAATGAGTAGTTTTTTTGACGTTTGTTAAAAATAAAATTAGATGATTTAGTTGGTATAACGATAGACTACTTGGTCTTAATGAACATAGTAAACCATTAAAGTCCTACGGAAACTGGTTCAATTATTATTATTGATTAATTAAAATTATTGATTTTTGAAAATTTGCTTTTAGAAAATACTCCGAGTTAACGTGTTCGTTCGTTCGTTTGCAATGATGTGTAATAAATTCACTCGGAACACTTATAATCACTCATAAATTAATTTATTTTTTATTGATTAAGTCGATTATTTACACATATCGGGAAGTTTATGTAACTTGCCTCAAGGCTAAATACCAAACCAACTAGTTATTATTATTATTATCTTATTATTTCTAATATTGGTTTTTTGTTATATTTTATTGTTTTTCTAGTATTATTTTATTATTCAGAAATTTTTATTTAAAGGTGATAAATGACGCATTGTTTCATATTATCTATTTTACAAATGGGATTTTTACAGGTGGTTCAACTGGAAGAACTGTTTGCTGTCCGACATTCTGTCTTCATCATTGGTTTTGCTGGAACTGGTAAAACCAACGTTTGGAAGACTTTGTTTAGGACTCATCAGGACGCTGGACGAAGACCTCATTTTAATGATTTGAACCCTAAGGTAAACTTGATACCATATATCTACATATATATAAAAATAAGTCGGGTTTTCCTTCCTGACGAAATAACTCCAGAACGCACGAACCGATTTCGACAATTTTGCATTCGTTGGAAAGGTTTCGGGCTCCGCAAGGTTTATAGCTAAGAAAATTAGAGGTGCATGGCATCGTGCCATTTAGAAAATCATTGTTTTTCACATGGGCAGTTTCACGTTGCCTGCTCACGAGTAGGAAAACCATCCGCTTTGTTTGTGTTAACGTCAGTTCAAACAACAAAAAATGTGGTTTACCAAAGAGTACTTCAATGAAACGGATAATTTGCGGATTCACTTTCATTTACTTAGAGAAGTTCAACTGAAAACCACTTCATTTTTGTAATCGAAATAAATTCATTACTGTTGTATAATAAAATCAAATTTTTCCTTTTCAAATATAAAACAAACAAAAAAATTATTCATCTTTCTCACGAAACCATCTGGTAGCGAGACGGAGTTTGTCGGGTTTGCTAGTTATCTATAATTATGCACATTGTCCAGATATAATAGTATTTCTTTTATCATAGGCAGTAACCAATAATGAACTGTTCGGCATAATCAATCCGGCAACCAGAGAATGGAAAGATGGTTTGTTCTCGGTCATCATGAGAGATATGGCCAATATGTCAGGTTCTGGGCCCAAATGGATTGTTTTGGATGGTGATATTGATCCTATGTGGATCGAAAGTTTAAACACTGTTATGGATGACAATAAGGTATATTTATAGTGAATAATGAATTTGAAATTATTTTATACTAGGTCATGGTTTATGTTATCAATAACTTTGGTTTTCAAAAATATGTTATACAATAATTTAATATTTATTAAAAATAATTAACATCCCATAGGGCAAGTAATAGTAATCGCAAAAAAATCGAAAATGAAATTTTTTATATATTTTCACGTTTCAGAAGATTCTGAACATTTTGACATACCTTAGAAAAAAATATATATGAGCGCGCGTGCGTGTGTATGTTTGTTTGGATACAATTTTTTGTCCACGATTTCGGGCGCACAATTCAACCGATTTGAATAATTCAACTAGTGGTGTATGGCATCGAGCCTTAAGGCAAATTGCTGGAACTTCCTGTACCGTAACGAAATGTTCGAGAAATAATAATTGTTTTCAAATAGATTATTATAAATACTGTAACATTGTCTAATATTTATAAGAATTATATAAACTGAAGTGCAAAGTTAAAACTATTTAATTGATTTATATAATTGAGCTTTAGAACTTTAGCTAGAAGGAAAATTATAATTCGAATTATTTTCAATATTAAAAAAATATTTTTTGGAAATAAAAAATAGAAATTGTTTTTTCTTACAAAATCAATCGTTTCGTCAACACAAGCAGAAAGTTTTTTGAATCATTCAAATCGGAGGCGTAGTGCTCTCAAAAACTATCTTTTTTTGCACATTTAATTTGATATCTCCGAATCGTCTAGACCTGCCTTTGTTAAAAACTAATCACCACTTCTCCCTCTTATTACGGATTGAATGTTTTTTGAATCATTCAAATAGGTTAATCCGTGCGACCGAAAACGTGGACGAAAAATTGTATCCATAGATACATACACACACATCCATTTTTTCTGAGGTATGCCAAAATTTTCAGAAACCTTCAAAACTTGAAGAAATGTAAAATCTTTCAGTTTCGATTTTTGGACGATTACAATAACTTAGCCTACGGGAAGTTAAAAAACTTTCGATTTCTGTTGATTGGAAGACGTGCTGATTGGTTTTTGGCAAAGGCAGGTCCAGCCGTTTCGAAAATACGGTGCAAAAAGTGCCAAAGACCGTAATTCAGTTTTTAAGAGAACAGAGCGCCCGATTTGAATGATTTAAAAAACGTTTTTACTTGTATTGACGAATGAAGCGTTAATTTTAAAAATAAATACTAATGATAGCGTTATAATATTAATTAAGCGTTAATTTTAAAAATAAATACTAATTTTGTTACAATTTTGTTGGGATCAAATAAATTTCAATTTTTTTTTTCAATATTTCCAAAAATATACAAAGTTTTTTACTTCAAATATGAATTTCAAATTTCCAAATCAGTTTAAAAGTGTTTATATTTCATATGCGTTATTCTACTCGTAAGAATTATATCCTCAGATGGATTTATTCGGCACCTTTTGCTAATGTAAACATTCTCAAGTATTTTGAGCGATAAGTTTGTCACTGCATACTGTATGCACTATAAAATATATAGCAATTGTAATTATTTATTTGATAATGTTTAATACAATTATTATTAATCATTGATCAATATTTATAGATTGCATATTTTTTTTCTCAGAATATTTACTTCTGGTACGGGAAGTTCCAGCAATTTGTCTTAAGACACGATGCCATACACCACTATTTATTTTTATAGGTTTTGACATTGGCCAGCAACGAACGTATCGCATTGACTCCACCGATGAGATTATTGTTTGAAATTTCGAATTTGCGAACAGCTACTCCTGCCACTGTGTCCAGGGCCGGAATATTGTACATCAATGCCGCTGACTTGGGCTGGAACCCGTAAGTAAAATTGGGTAAAACAAATATGAGTAAACATTACAATTTATGGTATTTTTTAGTTACGTTTTATCCTGGATCGACACACGTTCTGGTCAATCCGAACGCGCCAATCTGATCATCCTGTTCGACAAATACATTCCACCATGCCTGGAAGAAATGAAAAAACTGAAGAAAATCACACCCATTGTAGAAGTTGCACATATTCAGATGGTTTGCTACCTTTTGGACTACTTCTTGACACCCATTAATTTACCGGCTGATGCACCTAAAGACTGGTAAGTTGCAATAAAAATTTAAGGGGCACATCTAGTGCGAAATTTAAAAATAATCGCATTTTATTTTTTTCCATATTTCGATAGGTTATACTTTTAAAAATAACATACTAAAATTTTAAATCGATATCTTAAATAGTTTTTGAGTTACAGCCATTTAAAGGAGTATATATACAGTATATAGTATAAGGATCATTTTATCTTTAAACGCGTTTTTCTCGAAACCGCATTTTTCGAATTTCCTGGAGTGATTTCTCGGAGACAAATAATTCGATCGCTATCAATTTTTTTTTGCATCTCCTCTAGGGTTTATACAAAAACCGAGATTTCGGACAACCGGTTTTCTAATTTTATATAGAAAATAAATTAGGGATCGTTCAAGTATTACGTAAGCAGATTTATTACAATTATTAACCCCCCCCCCTCCCCTTTGTCATCAAAAGTAAGCAAAAGTTCTTACCCAAAATAAGAAAAATAAGCAAATCAATAACTCTAATTGTTTTTTTAGTTTAATAAAATATTTTTTCAAAAAAAACTGAAAATGTCTGTCGAATTGCAACTTAGACGTTTCCTTTGCTTACTCACAAAATTTCCTGAAATAGAAAATACTTTCATACTTTCGACCAAATTATGTTTTTAAAACCGGTTTTTGAAAACCGACAAACCCTAATTTCCCCTATCCATACGATGACCCTCCAGTTTTTTGATCTGATTAAAAATCGAATTTAGGCAGGCCAAAAACGACCAAAATTTTGGAAAAAATTTAACCTTATTAACTTCCCGTAGGGTAAGCTATTTTAATGGGCCGAAAATAGGAATTGAAAATTTTTACATTTCTCGACGTTTTGAAGGTTTCTCAACATTTTGACATACTTCATAAAAAATGGATGTGTGTGTGTGTGTGTGTACGTATATATGAATACAATTTTTCGTCCACGTTTTCGGGCGTACGTATCAACCGATTTAAATGGTTCAAAAAACATTTGATTCCTATTGATAAGGAGATGTGCTGATTTTGGCAGGGGAATGTCCAGCAGTTACGGAGATAAAGAGCAAAGAGTGCAGAAAATAGAAATCGAGTTTTTGAGAGAACGGAGCATCCGATTTGAATGAACTAAAAAACTTAGTAATGATTGGGAAAAGTGGTTATTAGTTTTTCGCAAAGGCAGGCCCAGCCATTTCGAAGATACGGAGCTAAATGTGTAAAAAATGACAGTTTTTGAGAGAACTAAGCGTCCGATTCAATTGATTCAAAGAACTTTCTGCTTGTCTTAACAAAATAATTGATTTTGGAAAAAAAAATATTTTGTTTCAACTTCTTTTTTTTTTAAATTGTTTGTATATCGAAAATAATTCAGATTTTATTTTTAATTCTGATTATAGTTCTAATATACTTTAAACAAATAATTTCACTTTGCAACAATTTTTTTTTTTTTGTTTGCCTGAGGGTCATCGCACAGACAATATATTTAGTTTCACAAGATTTTTGTTTGTGGTTTTATTAACGGAGAGGGCTGCAATCACTCCAGCAGTGGAGGACCTTTTTTTTCGGCGCTGCCGGAGATTGCGTGTCATTTCAAAAATATTTAATATTTTATTTGAAAAATTTTACTTTGTATTCTCAAAACATGTATAAATATATCCTCAAAATTTTAAATAGATTGATTCACTAGTTTTTTTATTTTTTAATTCCCAAAAATGGCCTTTTTTAGGTTGTCACTAGGAAATGCAATACCGATGTAAAATTTCAATACCAGTATTCAAATTTTAAAAAATAATTTTTCTACACTAATTTAAGATCGGATTCTTTGTCGAGATAAATAATAAGTTACTATAATTGTTGAGTATTGTTATTTAAAACAATGCGATGCTTCTATAGCATTTTCAAACTTTGAATCGTTTTTGAAAAATAATATTTTATAATTGTAATAAGAAGCAAAAATATTTAGTGATTTTCATAATTATTATGTATAAAGTTAAAAAAAAAATAAAGATTATGCAGGGGTAATCTGTATGATATAAAATATTTTGGCGCAAATATCACTTAAAAAACCGTAACATTTTTACAAAAGATGAAACAAACATCATTATCTATCAGTCCAATTCTATTTATTGTAACACGATATGAAGCCCTTTGGAAAGCAATAAATATTCAGTTTAATGACAAGTTGAGATAATATTTGACATTTTTTTATCTTAAAGAATCACTTGAAGATATAGCTGTTTATGTGATTATGGAAAAAGAAAATTTGTTCCGAGAAATTTAAACTTTAGGGTATTATGTACCAAATAGCGTTTATGTAAAAATACCGAAAATACTGGTATTTTTGGAATAAATGCCGGTAAAAATACCGCTGAAAAATCGGGCGGTTTTCCGGTAATTCGGTATACCGGTATACTGGTATTGCATTCCCTAGTTGTCACTAAATATTATCCTTTTCCAGGTTGGAGATCTATTTTGCGTTCTGCGTGATTTGGGGTTTTGGATCTACATTGTTCCAGGACCAATTGTGCGATTGGCGAAACGAGTTTAACAAATGGTGGATCAATGAGTTTAAAGTGGTTAGGTTTCCGATGAGCGGAACGATATTTCATTATTTTATTGATCCGGAGACCAAGAAGTTTTTGCCGTGGAGCGATTTGGTGCCGACGAACTTTGAGTTTGATTTGGATACACCACTTCAGGTAATTAGAATGGACACATTAAAATGTTTTTATTGTAATGTCAACTGTATCTATCTATTACTTTTTCAGTCTGCTCTGGTTCCAACAGCCGAAACAATGCGTCTGAGATTCTTCTTGAATATTTTTATGGAGCGCAAAGTACCGGTAATGCTGGTCGGTACAGCTGGTACTGGTAAAAGTGTGGTCGTAGCTGATAAATTGGCTTCTCTGCCCGATAGTTATGCAGTCACAAATGTGCCGTTTAATTTTTACACGACATCAGGTAAACATATGAATTTTTGTATCGAATCGATAATTGTTAGTAACTTCCCGTAAGGTAAGTTATTATAATCGTCCAAAAATCGAAAATGAAAATTTTTACATATCTTCGCGTTTCAAAGGTTTCTGAACATTTTGGCATACCTCAGAAAAAATTGGTGTGTTTGTGTGTCTTTTGTTTGTATGTGTGGAGACAATTTTTTGTCGATGATTTTAGGCGTACGGATCAACCGATTTGAAAAATCGATCCCTATTGATAGGGAGATGTGCTGATTTGTTTTTGGCAAAGGCAGGTCTGGCTGTTTCGGAGATATGGAGCAAAGAATGCAGAAAATAGAAATCGAGTTTTTGAGAGAACGGATCGGCCGATTTGAATAATCCAAAAAAGCAATCAATTTGTAATAATTGGGAGTTTGCTCGTCAGTAGAGTTCATTTAAGTTCAATTTGCTTGTCAGTAGAGTCCAATTAAATTTTTTATCGAATCGGTGATGATTATTTTGCTCGTCGGTAGAGTCCTTTTATTGATAGGAAGAAATAATATTTCTCTGAATTATTCACCGAGTTGATGATGGTCAATTTGCGCATTTTTCACTGAGTTGATTATCAATTTGCTTGTCAGTAGAGTCTTTTTATCTATTAGAAAGAATGTTTTCTTAAATTTTTTATTGAGATCAGTTTGATCGTCAGTAGAGTCCTTGTTTATATCAAAAATTGTAATATTTTACTAAAAAAAGTTTACTCGTCAGTAGAGTCCTTTTATCTATTACATAAGAATATTTTATAAATTTGTTTCTGAAATCGATTATGATCAGTTTGCTCGTTAGTAGAGTCCTTTTAATAATTACGAAGTATAATATTTTACTAAATTCTTCTTAAAGTTGATGATGAGTTTGCTCGTCAGTAGAGTCATTTTATATGTCAAAAAGTAATAATATTTTACTAGATTATTAATCGAATCGATCAAAATCAGTTTGCTTGTCAGTAGAGTTCATTTATCAATTAAAAAGTGTAATATTTCACTGAAGGTCAGTTTGCTCGTCAGTAGAGTTCTTTTCTCTCTTATAAGGTTTAATAATTTTCTAAATTTTTTTTCGAGTTGTGTAATATTTTACTAGAGCGAATTCATCAAATTCGATCAAAATCAGTTTGCTCGACAGTAGAGTCCTTCAATATGTCGCAAAGTATATAATAAATTAGTAATGTTTTTGTCAAGTCATTAGTTTGCTCGTCAGTAGAGTCCGTTTCAATTACAAAGAAAAATTCTATTCTACTGGGATTTGTTTGTTGAGTTGAAGTTGTATTTGCTCGTCAGTACAGTCCTTTTACCTGTTGGACTGTGTAATTAATATACTAGTTTCTTGCAGAAGGTTGTTTGTCAGTAGAGAAAATCGAAAATGAAAATTTTTGCATATCTTTACGTTTTAGAGGTTTCTGAACATTTTGACATACCTCAGAAAAAATAGATGTGTGTTACAATTTTGTCCACGTTTTCGGGCGCACGAATCAACCGATTTGAATGATTCAAAAAACATTCGATCTCTATTGATAGGGAGATATGCTGATTAGTTTTTGGCAAAGGCAATCCCAGCCGTTACGGAGATACGGAGCTAAATGTACGAAAAATGGCAGTTTTTGAGAGAACTAAGAATCTGATTTGAATGATTCAAAAAACTTTCTGCTGAAAGATTTTAATTTATTTATTTATTTATATCATTTTTTTTTAATATCGAAAATAATTCGGATTTAATTTTAATTTTAATTTAGTTTTAAAACATTATTTATATACTTTAAGCAAATAATTTTAACTTTGCAATTCAATTTATATAATTGTTATAAATATTTGACAATGCCCCTTATTTTAAATCCGATTAATCAAGATTTGTTTACCTACTTTTTATGTAAACACATATAAACGTCGCAGTACAATTCATAAGCTCTTATATCTTGCCTATAAATTACGAATTGTGAACGAAGTTACAATATTTATATAATAATCTATTTGAAAACATGTAAAATTCCATGAATATTTCGTTACGATACGGGAAGTTCCAGCAATATATTTTAAGGCACTGCCATACACCACTAATTTATATTTATTTTGTGCAGAAATGTTGCAACGTATATTGGAAAGAGTTTTAGAGAAGAAGGCTGGCCGAAACTATGGACCACCCGGTGGTAAAACTATGGTAAGATCTTAGATTTGGCATTTAAATTTATTAAATAAAAAGAATCAGCATATCAATATATTTTGTTTCACAGGTGTACTTTGTTGATGACATGAATATGCCAGAGGTCGACTTGTATGGCACAGTGCAACCGCACACATTGATCAGACAGTTCTTCGATTATGGACATTGGTATATAAAAGCAATAACTAGAAAACAAATCAAATTTTGTTATATTTCTCACTTTTATTTTTAAGGTACGATCGAATTAAATTATCCTTGAAAGACATACACAACTGCCAATATGTATCGTGCATGAATCCGACCGCCGGTTCTTTCACCATCGATCCGAGACTCCAGAGGCATTTCTGTGTATTTGCAATGAGGTAATTGAAATCTTCATAAAAAATAGAGTTAGACCAATGTTGAATCTTATCAATGTTGACCTTGATCTATTTCTTTCTAGTATCCCGGCAGTGGATGCCCTAACAATGATCTACTCAGCAATTCTGCAGGAGCACATGACGATGCCTTCGAGCAAATATGCTTCTTCGATGGCCAAAATGGTTCCTCTGATCGTCCAGAATGCAATCCAGTTGCACATGAGAGTTGCTGCCATGTTTTTGCCTACAGCTGTCAAGTTTCACTACACTTTTAATGTCAGGGACTTTGCTAACGTATTTCAGGCAAGTTGGAAAGGACTCACAATCTATTAAAATTTGATAAATTAAGGTATGTATATTTATTGTTTTTTATTTCATTAGGGCATGCTGTATGCAACAGGAGATGCTGTCAATAATAATATCAACATGTTGGTGAGATTGTGGATGCACGAGTCGACAAGAGTGTATGGTGATAAATTAGTCGACTCAAAGGATCAAAAAGAATTTGATAAACTTTTGCAAGAAGTTGTGAAGAAAGGATTTGAGGTATGAATTATCAAGTAAATTATTAACTTCCCTTAGGCTAGTTATTGTAATCGTCCTAAATCGCGAAATTCAATTTTTTTGCATTTCTTCACTTTTCAAAGGTTTCTGAATCTCGTTTTGGCATACCTCAGAAAAAATAGGTGTGTGTTTGTATGTGTGGAAATAATGTTTCGTCGACGTTTTCGGGCGTGTGGAAATAATGTTTCGTCGACAGATCGATTCGATTTCTATTAATAGGGAGATGTGCAGCAAATTAGTTTTTCGCAAAGGCAGGTCCAGCCGTTACGGAGATACGGAGCAAAGAGTGCACAAAATAGAAATCGAGTTTTTGAGAGAATGGAGCATCCGATTTAAATGATCTAAAAAACATTCAATTCGTAATAATGAGGAAAAGTCTTGATTAGTTTTAGGCAAAGGCAGGTTCAGCCGTTTTGGAGAAACGGAGCAAAATGTGCAGAAAATGGCATTTTTTTGGAGAAATAAGCATCCGATTTGAATGATTCAAAAAACTTTTTGCTTGTGTTGACGAAACAATTGTTTTTGGAAAAAGAAAAAAAGTTTATTTCACTTTTTTTTAATTTCCAAAAAAATTTTTTTTCTGAATATCGAAAATAATTCAGATTTTTTGAAAATCTTTACGTTTAGAAGATTTCTGAACGTTTCAGTATATATTAGAAAAAATGTATGTTTGTGTGTGGATAAAATCGACGATTTCGGGCGCACGGATAAACCGATTTGAATGGTTCAAAAAACACTCGATTTCTATTGATAGGAAGATGTGCTGATAAGTTTTTGGCAAAGGCAGGTCCTGCCGTTTCAAAGTTACGGAGAAAAGAGTATAGAAATCAGAAATCGAGTTCTTGATAGAACGGATCATCCTATTCGAATGATCCAAAATTCGTAATAATGATTAATGTATACGTATAATGATTCGAATGTTTCAATTCGTAATGATGAGAAAAAGTGGTGATTAGTTGTAGAAAAAAGCAGGTCTAGTGGTTTTGGAGATACAGAGCAAAATGCGCAAAAAATTGCATTTTTTCGGAGAAATAATTATATTTAATTAACTTCTCGTAGGGCAAGTTATAGTAATCGCAAAAAATCGAAAAAATGAAAAATTTTATATATCTTTACGTTTCAGAGGCTTCTCAATATTCTGGCATTCCTTAGAAAAAATGAATTTTATTTTATTATTTTTATTCTAAGGAATATTTTCTTACAAATTAATGATAAAAGTGATCACTAATTAAAGAAAAAATGCCAAGAACAAAATTTTCTTTCAAGAACAAAACATTACGCAGCAAATTTGCAAAATATATAATCGAACTTTAGCAAGTTTTACTCAATTTTTTTTATCAAATTGTATAAGACCCTTTATACGAAATTTTAGTAAATTTTATCTAGTTTCTGCTGAACTAATTAAAAAAGAGCGTCCAGTAAGAAGTTATTTAACAAAATGTAAAAAATGTCTTAAAACTTTGTGCTAAAAGTTTGCAAAAGTGAGTTCAAACTAATATTTTTTTTTGTATTTTCATATAGGAGGAGATAAGACTGTTTATATAGTATTTTAATAAATTTTATCTAGTGTCAATAGTATTATCAAGTATCTAGTGTGTGTGACAAATTTTCGTCGACACGGTTTAACTGATTTCGACGATTCAAAAAACATTCGATTCCTATTGATAAAGAGACGTGCTGATTAGTATTTGGTAAAGGCAGGTCTAGCCGTTTTGAAGATACGGGGCAAAAAGTGCCAAAAATGGCAATTGATTTTTTGAGAGAACGGGGTGTCCGATTTCAATGATCCAAAAAACATTCAATTTGTAATGATTGGGAGAAGAGGTTTTGAATTTCTCGACGTTTTGAAGGTTTTTGAACATTTTGGCCTACCTCAGAAAACTAATGGGGTGTGGTGTTGTGTCCCGTTCCGCATTTTTTCGTCCACGTTTTCGGGCGCATGGATCAACCGATTTGAACGGTTTAAAAAACATTAAATTTGTAATGATTGGGAGAAGGGGTGATTAGTTGTTTGGCAAAGACAGGTCCCGCCAATTTGAAGATACAGAGTAAAATGTACAAAAAATGGCCGTTTTGGAGTGAACTAAGCGTCCGATT